TAATATATTCGTACTCAGCAAGTTTAGTCTTGAAGACCTTTATCGCTGGGTTGATAATATTGATATATACTTTATTTCCCAATTTGAAGATTGATGATATCTTGTTAATAAAAATATGCTATCTTTTCTTCAAACAGTTTTTGAGATTGGAGAATATCTCTGGAGCCTGCGGATTGGTATGATTCGCGTTTTCCAGATCGATGACCTTAGGCGGTGTTGTATGAGATGTTATATTAGCTTGTGGAGAGCAGTATATATTGTATATAATATTATGACTTTGTAAAGTTTGAATTCAGACCGAAATTCAGCTTCTGGCGACCAGAAATTTTTCTTCGGAATATTGTGTTTGGATGTGAAATCATAGGAAAGCCTTCAGCATAACCATAAATCGTACAATAATCATCTAATCGTAGCGTTACTGAAAGATAGTCATAGTCAAAGGGGAATAAAATAATTATTTGTTTAAATACTGAAGATATATATAATTTTGAAGGGGTAAAATATGATGATTGATCTAAACTATTGGAAGAGGGGGTATAAGTACCTTCTAGGCTATCACGTGACTTTAATACTATTGATTGGTTTCCTCACAATGTGAATATTGATCCATCTACTCAGTGTATTATCTCAAAATCTAATCTTCACTGCAGTTATTATTCGAATCAATGTGCAGTGATGAAGGAAGGGTCAGGTTTATAAGTAGAGAATGGGTATCTTGAAACTAGGTATACTCGAGTACGGGTACTACGAGCATTCAAATCGCAAAATGAGCGCTGTAATGGTAATGGTAATGTCTGTTGGATATGTGTAAATCAGTGTGAGACTGTGAGTTGGATAATTTTATTTTGATTGTGTATTTGAAAAGACTACTCAGTATTTGTATTGATTGCTGATAGATAACTATAATGTCTATGCCAATCTATTTGGTAGTGAAATATCGCATGGGAACCCTTTTTTTTCGTTTTTTCTTTTTTTTTCGAGTTTCCCATCTTGGGGGAAATTTGTATGGAAGACTCAGGCTACCGGTATGTGCGATATTGAAATATACAACTTATTGATAGATTCACAACGAAAGACTAAAGTAAAAGGAATGTCGTCAAGTGGTATCAAGAGTGTTATCGGCGCTCTTCACGGACGGCAACAATATTGATACTGTACATCAAGGATTGCCTCAGGTGTAGATTGTATCCCGGGGTTCATCTGTGTGATTTGTTTGGAGAGATTACCTAGGTATCTAGATATGGATATAGATATGGATATGATCGAAATACTATCTGTACTGGTAAACGTTATTGGATCTTTCATCAAAAGTCTCTATGAATCGTCGTCTCCCTCACTCATATCCGCTACAGACTATTGTACCAAGATTTACTGTTCTACGATCTCATCACGAATGTGTGGACTTTGAAAGGACCCGCGCGGTCGATGAACATGTTTTGTTGGAGGAATTCAGCCCCTTGGGGGGAATATCAGAACGACGAATACCGGGATGGATTTGGTAAGTATTAAGAGGACATCTCGAGTAAGGCACTGTCATGCTTAGGTATCTTCCAAATGCAGTGCAATGTAAAAGTTGAAACCCTTTTAATGTTTTCAAGTTTTCAATATAATAAAAGCTGTGGTTTTCAAGAATGAGTAAATCAAATCTTTGGAACAAAATCCCAATATTTTAAACGATTTCTCTTTCGAATTGATTCAGCCTCCCACATGAATCACAGTTTTCCCGATGAAGTCAGAACCCAAAATTCTTTAGTACTGACCAGGAGAAAAGCTTTTAATGTTCGGAAGGCTGTGAAACTTCAGGGATGCTTCAAATTTGACCATTTTGAATGATTTCATCGTTTCAAATAAAATCAGTATTATAAGCAGCTGCATCAATATCGACATTTCTTCTGCCAGTGGCGAGGATTACTAGTAGCACCGTCTCCTTGTACTGGCTTTAGAAATCGCCGAAACATCGTTTTTGAGTAACGATCAAGATATGTTCCTTGGGGACTGGGTTGATGTGGTTGATGTGGTTGATGTGGTTGATGCGGTGATATATAAATAAAAATACCGAATATGATTATTCTATCCAAATGTAACTTCGAGTCTGGTGGACCAACTTTACTTGACAAAGTATTCTGCTCTTATTAGATCTTTATACTCCAATTCCCAAGGTCATCCATCTACTTCGATTAGGCCAGCGTCAGCCCTCCTGATTCAAGCAAGAAACGCCAACAAAATACTAAGTGATCAATATATTTACAAATAGAATGAATAGACAGCTCATAAATGTGTATAAACATCGCTAATATCAAAATAACTTGTAGTGGCACATCCGCATGCCTTTCATTCTACAACTCAAACGAGTCATCTCGAGAATTGTGATATTTGCTCCAAGCATATATATCTTCTCACTTATAATTTCTCACCACTATCTTACTACCTCAGACCTCTAATTCCTAATCTTCAATCCAACTATAATATTTACACGTGAACGTGAGTTGGTACCTGGACTAGATTAGATTGGGCTTTTGACTTTTGGTCAATAAGTTTTGTTGCATGTCTTACCTTGTTGCCTTTGGCATTAAGGAGAATTTTCGGTAAGAAGGGAGAACATTGGCACCAAACTTTTGATTTGAAGGTACCAAATCGAGATTACAAGAATCAATACGTATATACAGAAACGATAGCTGGCTTAAGTCAAATTGAAGATGTATTCTTGGGTCAATAGTTGCAAAGCAGAATCTTTGTGCAGGGTGAGAAACATATAAAGGACCAAGAGTATGGTGGTATCAACTCTGACTCCCTCAATGTTTACTACAAGATTGCAAGATTAGTGGAGGAGAAAATCAAGGAGTATAAGAGGAATTAGTCAGGTTGAAACCCTACCTTGAGTCGGAGTTCTTCAAGGCCGGGATACGATGGCTCTCACGATACATTCTTTCAATAAATAAAAAAGCTTCCGCAAATCAGCCAGATGTTTTAAGTTGAAAAATAACATATAATTTTCAGAGAAACATCCAAACCTTTAGGAGTACAACTCAATGTGATAGAGGTGAACATACTATATTATATAAGAATACTACCTCGATATGTTTCATAAGAAATCCTACCTGATAATGTGATGTAGAGTACTGCGATTGTATGGCGTCCGAGTCACTTGATATATTGAAGTAAATAAATACCTTGATCTGATTTAATACAACGATTATATGAATAAAAAATTCAGTAATTTTCATTTAGTGACTCGGAGTCACGTAAACTAGTGCAAAAGTGGTTTCATCTCGTTTCTCATGATGAAACAACGCAATCTTAGTATCAAGACAAATAGAAAAACCATAGACTGTCATCGTTGCCCTAGACACATGGTGTGAGACGTGTTTCTTAACGATTCTTTTAAAACACAACTGGAACTCAGCCACAGGTTCATCTAGACCAGAAAGATAGAAGCCCGAATCTGTATCGCTTGGAATTGTGTATTTGGTGCTGTATCATCCAGTATTGCAGAATTTGGTGTAAGGATTACTATAATAGTATCTAGCCAATTACTCGAGTAGTGAAATAGGTGTTTAGATCCGAATACTTGGGATAAAGATAGGACATTTGTCTTACTTCCACTTGGAAACAGGGGGTTATAATTTAAACAGATGAACTCTAGATGTCAACACTTGTTCAGCTTGGAGTTATGAGATTTATGCTATATGGTTCGAACTGGTAAAGATTCAAAATAAAACTGTGCTGAATGTATCTAATCAATTTGTACAATACCTCATTGATCAAATGATTTGTGGAATATGACTAAATAATATGCAGAGATAGGAGCTCAGCTTTGAATATGGCCAAGATGACGGGTTTCAGCATCGAAACGAATAACTATCTGAAGGATAAATCCATAAAACATTCAAAGTCAACATTCAAAGTCCAATGAAGACCTATACAAATATCTTCAGTATTCCAAAGGCCTCACCACACAAGTTTCGCAACTTGAGAAACTCGATTTCTTTCCGGCCCAGTGCCGATATTGGTCCGCTTCTGTAGATACACAGAAGCGAAAGCCATTCGTCACGGTAGATAGAATACCATACTTCAAGATCGACAGGAGACACTTGCTACCTTCGATTTCAGGCGCGGGATGACTGGTGTTAAAAAGAAAGTCCAGCGTAGTTTGGTAGAGAAAATGAGTAATTAGCTTGGGGAGCTGAGCGATTATCATCTGATCTAATAGGATTGATATTAGGAAGTTTTCGATTTGTGCTTGTAGAATGAGTGCTATATGGTCTGATATAGCATCTTTTACATGTGGGAAAACGATTGAGAGAATCGAGAGAATTCCATCCAGTATGCTAAGTAAAGTTTGTGAAGTTTGTGAAGTTTACAAACTTATTTAATTTCTACCTCAAAGTATTTAGCCTTCCATTGCAAGTGACATGATCAAGAGATTGCTGTCCATTTTATTCACTTCATCCACTTCATCCAGACTAATATGATTGCAATCGATGAGTTATTGGAACAACAAGATGTTCGTTTTCCTTGTGCTGCTTTTTTCTCTTGAAACATTTAATATAAACATCGTAGAGGTGTCATTTGGATATCCAATGACTTACCTACCTTACAGTTCAGCGTGACGAGAAAAATGCTAGATCATCTCCCCAGTAATGTCACGGTCGAGATGATATCTTTGAGGTTGATCGTTTACTTGTATTGAGGATTGGGATTTTGTTCTACTCACTTCTAGCAGTCGATATTAGGCGCCTATTATAAGTGTAGTATTTTTGGTTCAAAAAGACTTTGTCATTGTTGTCTTGCGCATACATAGTTGTTCTTGTTCTAGGGCTTGGCATGGTGGGGGACATCTCACCACGTGATATCAGCAAGGGAGCTGTACTTCTCCATTCACCATTCAATATCCCCCCATCTCCATCCATCATTATCATACATTATAAATACCTCACCCTCACCATCCATCAAATTTCTACATCTGAAACTCCACCAGAACTTCATACCAACACTCCAAAATGGCCTTCCCACCCACAAAAGTCCCCACCCGCATCATGATCATCTCCGACACCCACAACTACCAATTTGGCACACCTCCCATCCCGCTCCCCCTCTCACTCTCCAACATCCCACCCAACATAGACGTGCTCCTCCACTGCGGCGATCTCACCGAGCGAGGCGCACTATCCGAATACCGCGGCGCTTTACTAATGCTGCAACAAATCCCAGCGAAATTAAAACTCGTGATTGGGGGGAACCACGATCGAACACTGGACTTGGCATGGGTAAAACGCAATTTGGGATTTCCATACACTACCGAGGAAGAAGAGGAAGATTTAGGAGAATGGAGAGAGGCAAATAATATTATGAGGGGAGAAATGGCTAGGGAGGCTGGAGTTACTTATTTGGAAGAGGGAGTTTATGATTTTAATTTGCAGAATGGTGCTGCGTTGCGCGTTTATGCAAGTCCTTATACGCCCGAATATTGTAGATTTGGATGGGCGTATGAACGAGACGAGGATAGATTTAACGGGGCTGAAGAACGGGATGTGGGGATGAAAGGTGTGGATGGTTCTGTGCGTATAACGAGTTTTGCAGAGGATGAAGACGGGAGACATATCGATATAGTGATGACGCATGGGCCTCCAATGAATATATTGGATAAATGTGATGGGTATGCCCAACGACATGTTGGATGCAGTAGTTTACTTAGGGCGCTAGGAAGAGCAAGACCGAGGTTATTTTGCTGCGGGCACATTCACGAAGCGCACGGAGCGGGAGTTGCGAGGTGGGGAATAGAGGGCGTTGAGGAGATGAGGAAGGTCGAGTGTCAGTGGCCGAGTTTGAACCGTGAAATTATTGAAGAGGGGAAGGAGACCCTGATGGTTAACGCAAGCATAATGGATGTGAAAAATAGACCGGTTAATAAACCTTGGTATGTCGAACTTGATCTACCTAAGGCGATAGCGGCGGAGGTTGGGCGGTAAAAGGTTTAAGGGGAGATTCAATAACGGAGAATTCACAATTATCTCAATTAAATCTGGAGATTGAGGAAGGCTTGGGGGGAGCGTGAAAGTTCTGCTGTGGAAATACTGAGGTTAATTTGGGGATACCACGGATATTTGTGTTTCTTTTGCAAATCATCACAGTCTTGATAATACATCTTTGTGTAGTTAATTCTAGTGAAACATGAGCTTACAATACACAGCATGACTTTGTATTGGGCAAGCATAAAACGCATTAAATTTTGCAACCTACTCCGAATCGCAAATCGCAAAATGCTACAAAGGCGAGGGCTATCTATATGCAAAGGCCACCGAGAAGGCACCAGACATCGCTGTTACCACAACCATAATACCTAAGAACTCCCGACTCACTCACCACTCTTCCCAGACCTTCTGCGTAATCTCGCCGGGTACTTGCCCTTTGGCGGCAAAACTCCCAATGCAAAATAACTCAAATCCGGCTCTGGAATTTGGTTGCCAATCAATTCAATATCAAATTTGGACAAAAATATCGCCATACCTCCAATCGCTTCTTGCTTTGCAAAGAATCGACCGGGACATATTTTCTGACCGCCTCCGTAGGGAATCCATGAGCCATTTACCGTGTCCGTGACGAGTTTGGGTTCGGTGATCTTCTCAGTGTTGTGGTTGTGGTGTTTGGTTGAATCCGGTTTTCGCGGACCGCTGTGGGGATCGTTGGGGTAGACGATAAAGCGCTCAGGCCAGAAGCTTTCGACGTCGTGTTCTCCGTTTGCACCTTCGTTCCAGACGGTCTTGTCACGGCCTGCAAACCAGATACTCATCAGAATGATATCGTTCTTGGGGAATTTCCATGGTCCTATTTTAAAGTTTGAAGAGATGGGAGAGCGTTGAATCGTGCTGGAATTTCGCAATCTGAGTTCTTCACAGTAAATTGATTGAAGTAGGAGGTTCGAAAGAAGGTCGGGCATTTGTTGTTCAAAGTTACCGGTTGGATGGAGTTTTTTGATAGAGGCGAGTTCAGCATGAACTTGGGAAAGAAGAGCTGGGCGGCAGATAGTGTCTATTATAGACCAAGCTAAGGTTGGAACGATATTGGAGTTTGTCCTGTTGGATATTAGCTTTAAAGTATCATCTACCAAAGTATAAATCAACTTTACCCCCAGATTAAACCCAGATCATTAGCCGCACGAGCTTCATCACCCAAACCAATGACCTTAGAAAGATCACGAGCTCGGTCTCGGACAAGCCTTGCGCCATAGTATGGTTCCCATGACTTTTTTTCAAGCTCCTCATCATTGCGATCGATATGTGCTTCTGCAGATCGGTGCCATTCCACAATACCTTTGACTAATTTATCTCTAATCTTGTAGGCACCTGGATTGATGAATCTTGGGACACCTTTGAGTGGTCCTCCAATTTGAGAATCGAAGTTCCAAAAGTCCTCGGTCAACGTGGGGATAATTTCGAATATATGCGGTCCACAGAGTGCAAGGGTCGAAGCATTGAATATTGAATTTTGTATGAAAGAGTATAGATCAGGTATTTCCAACCATTCTTTGTTTTCCATATCAAGATTATCCAGCTCCGTGTCAAGATTTGCCAAGAATCGAGATGCAAGTTCTGCCAACCTCAGACCGGAAAGATTATCATGCATTCCTTGATGTATGATTTGGTGATAACGTTGATCTGCGGGCAAAGAATGACTGCCTGGTAAGGGCTGCGCTGAGGTGCCAGTATCGTCATTTAAGAGTACGGTAGTTGCTTCAGGAGGGGTGCCGAATACTCGTTGGAGAATGACTGTCGAGGCAGGAACTGTAGTAAGTTCTCGTGAACTGCGAAACAATCGAAGGACATATTCTGGTCCAGAAACGAAGAAGTAACTCTGGGTACCAACACGAATTCGAACCGGTACATGGGGACCGAAACGATTTCTAATTTGCATTCATCAGCAAAGGCACATAGAGCTGGAAGGGATTCCAATATACTCACATGAGATATGCGAGATATCTACGAGTGCCAAACGCGAAAGCAAAGAGATTGCCAAATACAAAATCCGCAGATGGATCAATAGCAGGCGGTTTATCCTCATTTTTACTACTCACAATAATGAATGAATAAATGGTAGTAAGAAGGTAAGATATTAGAAAGGGACAAATGCAAGCAGCCAATGCCGCAGCTCTCCAGTCCCACCAAAGGGGTATGTGATCCATCATTTTGATATACTAGAATCACACAATTTTAAGGAAAAGGTGTTTGACGAAAGATGATAGCAAATAACGAAAGGAACCTTATCAACTTATACTCAAGTACTATCCACAAGAAGAAAAGTTACTAACATTTCCAAGTGTATAAGCCATCCACAATTCAATGAGGGTATCCCCTCCAAGAACCCTGAAGTCTATTTTAAGCCACCCGGGTGTCTGTATGGTTTGGTAGGGTTTGGTAGGGAGTTTCTCTGTCAGTATAGCACTGAATTTGAATCACTTGCAACTGCTAGTAAGGTCACCATGATCCTAAAATATCCAAACCTCACTCAGACAAGTCCATATCCAACCTCATTCAGGTGGAATCCAAGTGTCTTGAAGTGATAATTCATATCATTGTTTCATAAATGTTTTTTTTGTCTCACCAGAAATGTTTGTGGTGAACACAAACAAGAAAACAAAGTTTGCTCAAAAGATAGCCTGGTCAATGAATAAGTAAGGAAAGCCCAATCTAGGAATCCGATGGGTACTATTATCAAATGGTGCCCCCTACCCCATTCATGGGAACCTTTAAACCTCCAATGCTTTATCCGAACTAGGTGCTTTTAGGCTTAGTATCTGTATGTACTGAACCCAAAAACAACCAATTCCAATCTTTAAGGTTTCAAGACCTTGAAGGGATAAATCTGATTTACATAATTTGACCAATAAGCAATTACCCCGTCCAAGCCCTCATCTAGCGCCCGCGCCTAAAGGGTAAGAGACCCATGAAGGAACGCCGATCATTATTATGCCATTTCTCACCGCCTGGATTATTTCCTCACTCCAACATAACACAAGACAATACAACAACAACTCAATACAACACAACACTTTCATATCAATTTATATTCATGCAAAAAAATCTACCTACTAGCTAATAGGTAGGTATTTGAAAGCAAATGCTCAAGTTGGAAAACATTATTGCAAAAGTCTTTCTAGTCAACCAACTATGACTTGACCAGTGTCATTCAGAAGTCATACCTACTCGAGGAGATGACCAAAGCATTATTATTATGGCTACTACAAAGTATGCCATCGACACAAATCTCCTCAACCCAATAAAAACTTCATTGGGCTGGATCGGAGTAGTTGTTAGGGTACGAATGGATGAATGCCCTATTATGATTCGATTTTGGGGGTGCCACCTCATCCGGTATGAAAAGTTCTGGTTGTTGAATATGACATAGGAGAATGATGAAAAGCGTTGAGGTTAGAATATATGCTACTGCATGGAAACGAAGAGCAAAGCTAATATGCAGAACTTCAAACAATGTGTTTGTTTCTTGAGACTGTCTAAATTATCAGCGAACCCGTTTGCAACATCTCTTACTTTGGGTAGATAAAGAAGTTTCTGAGATTTCATTCTTTGTTCGTCTGCTAGATCACATTCTTCCTCGGGACATTTTTTATTATTCTTCTATCCATCGCCAAAGGAGCTGATAGATTTCCCACGATCTCCGCATTTTTGAATTCTTTTTTGGATGAACATTGTTACAGTACCAACAAAGCTTCTGCATAATGTTTCGCAAATCCCACGATAAGAAATGCGACACTCCCGATTTTACTCCTCATTACTACAATCTGGATCTTCCAATTGATGCAACTCAAAAAGATATCAAGGAAGCATATCGTCGCCTTGTCAGGATAATCCATCCGGACAAATTCAGAGACCCAGATCAAAAGGGATCAGCCTTCACTGCCATTCAACTTATTACTGAGGCGTATGAGGTGCTGAGCGATGAAGAAAAACGCGAGGAATATCGACTGTTGATCAACAATTATCAGAAGTACAGATTCGAGACTAAATGGGAACTTGACTACTGGGATGAGAAATGGCGTAAGAAGCATCATCGAGATAAAGGTATAAGGCCCAAGCCATGGTTTTGGCATTATGACCCCCTTGCAGCTGGAGGTATGTGCATTAGTGATGAGGAGGACGATGTTGGGACGCACAAAAGGTTTTGCACTGCAACCTGGGTAAATCTTGCGCACTTACTTGTAGACAACGGATTGTCTAATACCATAAGCGACAACATATGGCGTCGCGCTGAAACCTGGAGAGATGGAGCACTCAACGAAACGCAGACTCAGCCCATATATATGGACTTCCAACGTGGCTGCGAAAACTTTCAACTTAAAATCATGAAGAAGGAAGCTTTCATTCCATGGTCACAAATCCCATCAAACACCGATTGGGGGCCAACTCTAGGATACGCGTGTGAATTATTCTGCCCCGATATCTTAATTGTACCTATAATGATTATCCTGATTATCTTTTATCTCTTCCTGTTCATTTGTGTAAGGATATTCAGGTACCTCACAAGATCACCTACACCCGCTTTTTGGCCAGAATCCGCAATATCTACTCCTACTTTGGCAGATCCACTCATGGATGATATCATGACGCGATCACGAAGGGCGTCTCATGCCAGTGCTCCACGTCGGCAAGGCTCTTCGAGCCCATCAGAGCAGGACTATTATGCTGATGAAGAAATCTACCCCGGGGACACATCGTCACAACCACAATTTCATACCGCAGTAACATCACGACGTCGATCTCCCACAATCCCTTCAGACAAATCGTCACCAACGCAACAATTTCATAGTGCGGTGGAAACACCAGGTCGATCCTCTACAAATCCTTCGAATAAATCATCAACGCAGTTTTACAGCGCAGTAGCAACACAAGGTCGATCTGCCACAAACCCTTCGGAGAGATCACCAACAACCCAATCCAACAGAGCAGGAGCAGAGCCTCAACAAGAACCCATGAACCCCTCCCAACTTCTCTCCTTAACATCCTCCGAAAGACATTATTACTATTCCGACAAAAACGACCTACCACTACGAGAACGACGGGACCCGTCCGTCATCCCCGAACCTTTGTGCCCTCGCTTCGTACACTACGAAGATGAAGACTATGCCGACGATGAGTTTTCTCCACGACTTTGCGTGGCGCTCACAGCGACGGGGAAACCCTGTCAAAGAAGAGTATCGATCGTAACACCACTTAGTGGTTCTACGGTTGATGGTCTCGTCTCCCCGCTTTGTTTTCAGCATCGGAATATTAGAAAATGGGTTCGAAGTAACAAAGAAGATCTCAACGAGCAAGATACATCGCGGACACCAGGCAGATTGCTCTCATTGACTAAATCACCTGTTGTGGGGAAAACGAGATCGTCAGGTAGATTAGCTCACTAGGATTAAGGGGTTCAGGCTCGTTTGCTATCTTACTTAGTGTAACATGGATGTGCATTCTACAGCGTAAATAGAGATATTACATATGTGTGTTTCAATGGAGATATTCAATCAATAGTCATTTACCCGAAGAAGAATTCCATCCCTATATCGAATGCATGGTTCCCATTGAACTCAATATACGGAACAACGCTCCTAGTGCTCATGTCGCGACTAACCACAGTATATATCTCTTATTCCATACTTGAGTACTTCGCATCCAATAGCGATTTTTGCGAGTGCAGCTATAGTATACATCCATTACCTCTTACCACTCACTGTGCGCAGAGTGAAAATACAAGTTCCGACTTCCAAGGTAAGACTTACCAAAATACCAATATAATTACCAATAGTAAAAGGTATTTCCCATAAATTTCCATGTACTCGATCGAGTAATAGATGCTGTAATAATAATACCAAAACAAATCCTAATCATATTCATTTAGCCAAGGAATGTTTTCTTTTTTCTTTCTTCGCTTTCTGGTGGGTGCGAAACATAATGTCGGGGTTTGAGACTAGAGGATATCAGTGACGTTTCGCATGATGGATAAAAGTTAAATATTGGATCGGAATTAAATTTATTTCAGTAACTACTCAATTATACTCTGAGAGTATTCTAATAGTCTAAAACGTTAGTCTATAAATAAATTGAACAAATCTATTGGTGTTCCACCCTCAAACACCCCTAATATAGCATAGCATAACACACCATAACCCACAATACCCGCCCCCTCTCTAAACCCCACCTCCACCCCCATACTCCACCCTCTCCTCCCTCTCACCCCCAATCCCCATCTCCATCTCCATCACCGCACCCTTCCCCCCAAGCCCCACCACATCCCTAACCCTCTCATCCAACCGACTCCCCCCAGGGCTCGTCCTCCACGGCCTCATTGCCCCCTTCCCAAACAGCACCTCAATCTCCTCCAACGTTTTCCCCGCCGTTTCCGGATATGTAAAGAACGCCTGGACCGCCGCTGCAAAACACAACACTCCAAAAATAATAAATAATTTCCAGCTAATATTTTGAAAGGCGGATGGAATGAACAGACCAATTGCGAAATTGAAGAGCCAGTTGGCGATGGTGGCGAGTGCCATGCCTGTGGCGCGCGTTTCCAGAGACCAGACTTCGGCTGCGTAGACCCAGGCGATGGGCGCGAGTGTGAGTGAGTAGAGCAGTACGAGGAGATAGCAGAAGGCGATGACGGTGTAGGCTGGAGAGCCGGATACTTGGACTCGCACGCTGAGATTGCCGTCGAGACCGTCTGGCAGGTAGGTTCCATAGGTACCGAGGACGCCGCCGACGACGAACATGCAGATACCCATACCTAGTGCGCCGTAGATCTAGAAATTTGCAAGTTAGGATGTGTTCTATATCGTTTCCAGGAATGCCATGATATTGAGAAGCTTACCAGTAAGGGACGACGACCGGTTTTATCGATGAAGAAAAAGGTTGCCGCAGTTCCTATGATGAAAATCGCATATTGAATTCCTGAAGAGACCAGTCCAATATTTCCCGTCAAACTTGCCATCTCGAAAATGTAAACCACGTAATAAGTCATTACATTTGCACCACTCAATTGCTGCCAAGCTTGGACCGATGTACCTGCCAAAGTACGTTTCCACATGCCATTCTTGAAGAATCGTCTCCAACCCTTTTGGCCTTCTCTTTCTGCTGCGAGGATAGTAGTGATTTCCTCCCATTCGGCAATCACCAATGGATCGTTTGTGTTCCCACCAGCTTGGATATCTGCCAGAATGGCAATTGCTTCCTTTTCGCGTCCGACTTTTGCGAGCCATCTGGGTGATCGAGGAAGGAAAGGAATTCCAACCATGAGGACGATGCAGGGGATAAATTGCATGGCCCATGCGGTACGGAATGAGGCGGTGGGTGATGCTGTGATAAAACTACATCCGTATCCTACAAAGTACATGATGAAGATACCCCATTCAATAGCCCATTGCTGGATAACGATAATGGATCCTCTGTTTTCTTTCTTGGCGATCTCGGCAAGGTAAACGGGTGCTTGTGACGAGGTGATACCTACGCAGATACCGTTGATGAAACGACCAGCGATAAGCATACCGATTCCATTACAGGAAACCTGGAGGGCTGTACCGAGTAGCCACCAAATACAAGCGAAGAATAACGAGTCTCGACGACCGTATTTGTTGGATATTGGACCGGCCATGATGGCACCAATTACTGAACCACCAGCTAGGGCGGAACCGATACCTCCTTGGACAACACCTTGGGGATTGTTAAAGTAATCTATATATTGGTGGGTACCAATAATGGCCGACATGGACGAAATGTCGAAACCAAACCTAGAAGCATTTTGTTAGAGTCTTTATCAATTTTATGTATTTAAAATGTGAGTACTTACAGCATCCCACCAACCGTGGCGATAGAAGCCAAAAAATACACATTTTGAATCTTAGGAAAGTGCACCATCTTTCCGAGAATGCAGTAAAGAGGCAGAAAAACTTTCGTCCTTAAGAGAAACAAGAATTTTTTTTACAAAATCGCAGTTCACTTACCTTTATACAACATAAGTAACTTCGTATTCAAGTAAGTACCTTTGTACCCCACATACTTGCTCCAGTGCTCCATATGGGGCATCTTGTGCGGAGAATTCCCCCAACAATAATGAACATGTCCTATTGGTGCGCATATATCTTTCACCGATGTCAGTCCATATAAAGTTGAGATCGTCCGAAGCGGCCACTCTAGTTACTGCTATGTCCCGTCAATGTGAACGTCCCGTGCTGTCACATATAATAAGTCGAACAACGCGGAAACATCAAATCGCTCATAGCCTCAGGTCAGACCAATGTTAGCGTACGTACACTAAAGTCGATACCATACCCAGTATTCCCCAAGTTTTCATAGGAGCGGATGTGATATGGTTCGACGCTGACATAAATTGATGTGAGCGGTCTACCGTATTCGAATGTCGAATTAATTGTTGTGGGAATATCGAGGGCGATTCTCCAGATTTGGTTTGACAGCGTTGATCTTGGATTGGGGTCTCCAGAAGAGATAGGATTTGACCGGCCCACAATACCACAATATGTGCAGGTCTTCACTCCCGTAAATATTACGGCAATTATAATCGGCATTACAAACAATGGCATTTCCTCAAGTTAGGACTTAGGACTTTGACTCATCGTGAACCAAAATCTCATCGATAGTGGTGGTATCTAAATGTACATATTGGCAATACACAATACATGCTATGCTGTTGGCTGTTGAAATAGGTGCCGTGCGTCCCGGAGACGCGATATGAATCCTATTCGGCGAACTTTCCCGGCGAACTTTCCAATCGCATCATCGTTACAGTACCATATCAAGATAACTGATACAATATCCATATCCATATTCCAAATACTAAATCCTGGTAGGAAAGTAAAGGATCAGTAAACATAAGATATTCTAACTCTTCTAAACCTTTAAGATATAATCGCTCGCTGCGGCATCTAAGCTCGGCACGAATCTCAAATTCTGTCCACTAGGATAAATTTTAGTTTACAGGGGCAGTAAAGTACCTGTTCATATCGAAAAGGCGGACACCATTCATGCAATATCCAATGTTTCCTTTCTGAATGATCACAAAGGTGTGAGGACCCATCTCAATCTAGATCTATTGCGAACCTCTTCCTCAACGACCCGCCATAATAATAAAAGAGTAAAGGGCTTGGGGCGATTGCAACACTCAAAAATGCAAAAATGCTTAATCCCCACCCAATTCCAATGTTATCCAAGATGCTAGGAGTGATCAGAGGAATGACACCCCCAAAGAGACTTCTGAAAAATGCTCCAGCTGCGATGGCACTTGCCGCATATTTCTCGAAGCTATCGATGTAATAGTTTTGCACAGTATTAAAGATGGCGACCTGTCCAACACCATAAAAGAAAGTTGCAACAAGTGTTACAGCCCAGTGTACGTGGTATTCAACCGTCCAAGCGAATGAGAATAGTGTGATAGGAATGAGAACTGCGCCGACATTTGCGAGGGGAAGACGAAACTCGGGTTTTGGTTCCCCCTTATTTTTGCGTGTAAGGTAATTGCGAATATCGTCTATTCTTGGAACTAGGAATTTTACTGCTGCAAGAGAACCAAGTCCTGGGGCAAGATATACAAGTCCTACTTGAATAGTATCAAACCCATAACCATCGCCGTAAATACGTGAGAACTGGGTATATAGACTGTAGGTTGTGGCGAAAATAAGAGCTTGATATGTGGACATGATCAAGACGATAGGTTGGGTAAACAGGATTTTGAGTGGTCGGTTCACTGCTTGTATGGCTTTCGATGAAAATGGCCTCGAATCTTCTCCTTCAAAATAATATTCTTCCTCTGAGCTTTCCTCGAGTTCTTTCTTCCGATGCGTGAGGAGAACAGGGACATAAGTTTCTTGGAGAAGAAAATATACACCGGCGAAAACAATACCACAAATCATGAGCAAAATCCAGAATAGCCATGGCCATTCTAGGTATTGCAGGATGATGCCTCCAAGTAAGGGACCAATGGTTGGTCCAAGGAGAGGCCCAAGGAGGTACCATCCAAAAACACCCGCCCTTTCACTTGGGAAGTACATGTCTGAGATGGTTCCACCTCCATTCGCAATTGACACACCTACAGAGCGTCAGTCGATGCTGGAGGTCTACAAATGAAGGGGGTAATACTCCCAAAAAATCCCGCAAGGGAGCGGAATGTGATGAGCACAGCAATATTGGGACTCAGTGCCGTTGGGATCTGAAGCAAGGTAAAAATGCCGAAGCAGACCAAGTACACAGGCCTTCGACCAAATGTTTCAGACAGAGGAGCGAGAAGAAGCCTATCATGTTTCCATATAAGCATTATAATCATCACGAAGTGGCGGTAGATATACTCACGGTCCAATCCCAAGCATTATGACGAAGCCAGTTTGACATGCAATAACAGCCTGAGCCGTCGTATCCAATGCTTCCGCTATTTGGTCAATACCTGGTGCAAACATACTACTTGCCAGTGGCGATAGAACTATCTTTTGTCAATATTATATTGAGCCCTTGTGAAGCACGTAATACACACTGGCCATAGTAGCAATGACAGCGATATTGCCCAGTTTTTTCAATTTGGACCAATTCCTAGGGTTCTCATCGTCGTCCTCGGAAAATTGTAATAACTGAAATATAAATTAATCAACAAATGTCGATGGGTCAACAGAATACTAACTTGTTTACTATCAGCAGCCTCTTCATGTTGGATGAGTGGCGACCTCTCGTGTGTCGCTCTGGGCATATTCCTTGGGTGCATATTGAAGGTTAATGAATGAAAAGAATTCACAATAAAGTAAGTATTTCTAGCAATTGATCTCAAGGACAATTAAATGCAGTTGTGCGATATCGATGAAAGGAATGAAGATATGATTAAAACTCTCGAAGTTGGTCTCAATGACGACGACAAGACACTAAATGCGGTACGAAATAAAAGAAGGTTTGGGTACAGGTAGGTAGGTACCAGTAGTAATGGAGAAATGCAATCTATTTGTTGATCTTGTCGATCTTGTTAATCTTGTTAATGTTCTCTTCAATTGTCGCAATACACCTACTGTCACTTCGACTTTCATCTCTTTAACCTCCATCTTTTTACATTTGAAGTTCCGTTCCTTCTAGGAGATGGATTTTTGATTCATTTGACTTTCATTAATTGTTTTTTTTGTTGTGTTTACTTCGGGAGGTCTTCAGCTTCCTTTTAATCTTTTGACTTTGGTGCGGGGAAACCTTGCAAATATTATCCGCATCACGTGATGCCCTGATCGTTCGCGTCACGCGCCTGATCTGATAATTCGTCGTGTCTGCTTCTTGCTTACTTCTTTTCTTTATCTGTTTCTTGCTCACAGACACAATTCTTTGTGACTTAAGACTTACAATTTAACGACTTATGACTTACGAATAGCCGCTGGTAGAAGCTTTTTTCATCTGTATTTCCATCAGGTTTGGAGATGGACTCGGGAAGAAACGGTATATGTATATGTATATGTGGTTGCTGAAGGTTTTACAATCCCTGCCAGCAAAATGGGTAGCCGCCTGGATAAGAATTCCAAATCTGTTCGAAAGCGCATCGAATCGCACACTTTCCAAGGCGAAGGTGGTGATGAATATGAAGGATCAAAATTTGGAGGCTTCTCCGATTATTTCCGACGCAAGAAACTTAAGTTGCAAAATCTTGATGTAGAGGTTCGTTCCACATCGACCGGAAACCCCAATATCTTTCGTGGCATTGTAGCACATGTCAACGGATATACACAACCTTCCTTGAATGATCTTCATCACTTAATAGTCAGTCATGGAGGTGGTTTCATGCAATACTTGGATGGGAAAACCACTGTTACTCATATTATCGCATCAACTCTCACCCCTAAGAAAGCCATTGAGTTTAAACGATATCGAATCGTGAAGCCGGCTTGGATAGTAGATAGTGTGAAGGCTGGAAAATGTCTTCCTTGGGATTCTTATCGCGTTCTGGATGAGGGTGTTGGTCAACGATTACTAGGATTTAGTGGTGGTAAAGTTGTTAGTCAATCAACCACCCCGCAAAGAGGATATCGCGATCAAACAAATGCAAGCTGGTATACGAGTCAGGTCAAAAATGTCGCCAAGGATATTAACGACGATGATGGGCCTCAGTTTCCGAGCTCGCAGGTGCAAAAGATCATGTCGCACAATACTGGTGTCTTCGCGCCATCACCTGCCGACCAATTGATAGAAAGCATCGAGGAAGTCGACCAGATACCGGTTGGAAACCCTATGAGCTCAGCTGCAAGCTTTGAAGTCACATCTTCCTTAGAAGAAGCATTGAAACACGCCGCCGGCGTTACTACTCGCAAAGCAGCCTTGAATTCTATCAAAAGAGCCGAGGATACTTTTCTTATGAAAAAGTCTCTCTCTGCCTCCCCTGCTCCCCAAGTCTCATCAAGTCCAACTGAGATCACTCCTACCAAACCAAAAGTTATTCTCAACACCCGAAAGAGTTCTCACAACGAAGCTACGCCGCGTCCAGTTGAACATGCGCCTACTGAACGACAATTATTCACGAACATGAAGAAGAGATCACATGATGAAGAGACAGCCAGACCCCCTAAAAAGGCGAAGGTTGTGACAGCAGAGGAACATAACGCAATTTTACTGGCAGATCCTCATACGCGAAAATCTACCACCGCAAACCCAGACTTCATCAAACAATACTACTCCGAGTCTCGACTACATCACTTGTCCACCTGGAAAGCAGATCTTAAATCAAAGTTTCAGCAAATGGCGTCGGAAAAGTCTGCTTCTCAGAGGCAATTAGCGAAGACGAAACCTGGCTCGCGAAGATATATCATGCATGTAGATTTTGATAGTTTCTTTTGTGCAGTGTCTCTCAAGAGTGCACCGGAATATATCGATGTACCTGCAGTTGTCGCTCATGGAAGTGGAACGGGATCTGAAATTGCTAGTTGTAATTATCCAGCTCGGGCATTTGGCGTCAAAAATGGGATGTGGATGAAGAATGCGATAAAACTGTGTCCTGACATCAAAGTCTTGCCATACGATTTTCCCGCCTACGAAGAAGCTAGTAAGGCATTCTACGAAGCCATTCTGGATGTTGGTGGCATCGTACAAAGTGTCAGTGTTGATGAAGCACTTGTTGATATTAGTTCTTTGTGCTTACAAGCTGCTGGAACTGACGGGGTTGAAATTCGAGAAGGTAGTATTCGGAGAGAACAGGAGAAAGCTGATGTGATTGGACACGCACTCCGGGAACTTATCAAGGAGAAGACGGGTTGTAATGTATCTGTTGGAATCGGAGGAAATATCTTACTCGCGAAAGTTGCCCTTCGAAAAGCTAAACCGGCTGGCCAGCATCAGATCAAACCTGAAGAAGTTTTGGACTTCGTAGGTGATCTCGGTGTACAGAATCTTCCCGGTGTTGCCTACAGTATTGGTGGAAAGCTGGAAGACATTGGTGTGAAGTATGTGAAAGATGTGCGACAACTATCCAAGGATCGCCTGATGACCGTGCTAGGACCCAAAACGGGAGAAAAGATATGGGACTATTCTAGGGGCATCGACAAATCAGAGGTTGGAGAGCAAGTTATTCGAAAATCTGTCTCGGCCGAAGTAAATTGGGGTATCCGTTTCATTTCACAGACCGAAGCTGAAGAATTTGTTCAAAATCTATGCATTGAATTACAGCGTCGACTACTCGAGCAAAGAGTAAAGGGAAGGCAAATAACCATGAAAATAATGAGGAAAGCTGCCGATGCACCCCTTGACCCACCCAAATTCCTTGGCCATGGTAATTGCGATACTTTCAACAAGAGCATAGTCCTTGGAGTGGCTACGAATGACGCCGAGATCATTGGACGAGAAGCAATTTCAGTTCTCCGAGGTTATGGCTTTTCTCCTGGAGAGCTACGTGGACTTGGTGTCCAAATGACCAAACTTGAACCTCACAAGTTAACGAGTGGTGCATTATTTGATGGAAGTCAAAGAAAGATTAAATTTGGCGTTCCTGTGACGTCAAAGTCAACCAAGCAAACCGTCGAGGATTCCATTGTTGATGATCCGGAGACTCCAACGAAGCGAAGAACAACTCCACATACACTCTCTGCGAAGCGCCTTTCGGAAGATATCATTGACTCCGTGATACCAACGAAACCGAAATCAATCGCGAAATCAATATCAACTGAAGATCCTATTGATGAAAGTAGCCCGATGAAAGCCAAACCAACTCCAGCTCATCCGGCAACTTTCATTGCAAGAACCAATGCTGGTGACCAGAGTGCTAGGAAGCTCAACTTGACTGGGACTCAATTCATTATACCGTCTCAAATCGACCCTGAAGTTTTAAAAGAACTCCCTCAAGATATCAGATCCAGATTAATGGCTCAGAGTAAGAGTCTACCCGTCTCAAGGGAACAAACACCTATCACAGCCTTGAAAGAATCACAATCCGAGAGCCCAGCGAAACCTAAACCCTTCCATATGCCTTCACAACTCGATCCCGATGTGTTCGACGCACTACCCGAAGAAATGAAGGCAGAAATCTTAGCAAATTACAAACCACAAGTGGTCAACTCTGCTCCAGGCGTGCAGAGTGTTCTCCCGCAGTCACCTCGCAAGAACAGAACCATCACTGGCAAAAAGCCTCCAACACCTATCAAGAAACGCGGACGTGGACGACCTCCTGGACCTAGGATCAAACCCGAACCACCCAGTGGTCCACTCCAATCAAAGTTCGTCTCGAATCCTCGCGCACGAGAAGACTCCATTGACCACACTCAAGATGCCGAAATCCTTGACCCTGAATTCCTCGCCGCATTACCAGACGACATGCGCGAAGAGATCATTGCCGAACATCGACGAAAACGCCTACAAAAACGCGGCGGTCTCATGACATCCACTGTTAAGAAAGTAAAGAAACCAGATACACCACCACTAGGACCACGGCGAATTCGCCTCCCTCCCAAACCTATCAAACCCACATTCACAACGCAGGAATTAAGCACGCTAGAAGAGCTGCGGGAGACGCTCACAATTTGGTATCGGGAATTTGAGCGTGAAGGTCCGCATCCGGATGATGTAGCTGCTATGGAGAGATATTTGAAGAGAGTTATTCTGGATGAGAGGGATATGGCAAAAGTGGTGGGGATTGTGAAGTGGTTGGAGTGGTTGATGGATGATAGTGAATTTGTGGGGAAGGGAAAGAAACTTTGGGAGAAAGCTTATGGGGATGTAATAGGTAAGGTTCAGGAAGCGGTTAAGGAAAGAGGACTCGGTAGACTGAATATCTAGGGGATCATGGGGGTCTAGCTCTATACGTCTGCATAATTATCACAATTTGCCCGCTTGATGTGGCTTCGGAATGCTCAATACGTTGTTCGATGTAAAGTTGAAGATTTCAAATCCCAAGTTCACTCGTCTTATACACGGTAATCTGCCATGTAATACCTACGGAATAGCGCGTTATTCATACAGAAAATATTAAAACATCAAACTGTAGATATGCAAAGCTCAAAAGCACTCTGGACAACGTTATGAAAAGTTTTCTTTTTCTTTTTCTGTTTATTATTGATACCTACCAACTATCTATCTGTAATTTATGATGATTATAATCTATTATGTCGAATCTTTTGATAACCTAGTTGAACAGTACATGGTGCCCCCAAGATCTGAACTCCGTTTTCCTTTCTATCTGTCCAAAGTCTCTGGTCTCATATATAGCATTCCCATTATATCCTTGCCATTACTCGAGTATATCCATCCATATTATGTAATCTATCCTTCCATATCCATCCCCACTCCCATTTCCTCCTCATCTCCTCCTTTCCCCCAACGAACCTACCCCCCTCCCAAACCCCCTCAACACAAAACCAACAACGCACCAAACGCCACCCCCAACGCCAGCATCGCCTTTTTCCCACCCAACCCCCCTCTCCCCACACCCACACCCGCCGCACCCCCCTTCTCACTCCCATCCCTTTGATACATCGAGATCGTCCACGAGCCCCCACATATCTGGCTCTCGTTTCCTTTGCACCCAAGATTGCATTTCGAGTCGTCGACTTTGGAGGGAAAGGCTGAGAGGTAGGGCGCGCAGTAGCATTCTCTACTCATCTTATTAGTTTCCCTTTCCCCTTCTTAATTTTAATCTTGGTGTGGGATGAGGGAATCTATGCTGGATAAATTGGATAGATTGGATAAATAGGACCGGGGGTTTAATGGGCAGCAAACCTGGTATATTCAATCCCAGCATACATGTACGAATTGGCCTTACAAAAAGCCATGCAAAGCGGTACAGTCATGGTATCGAGCGCCTGCGCAACACCACCATTCAAAGCTCTTAATCCCTGCGTGGTATTCGTATGTTGAGTTTCGTTGTAGCAGCCTAGATAGATGTATGATGATGCGCTTGGTACTATTGTTGCTACAGCTATGCTTCGAGGACTTTAGGTCCTCGGCTGAGGATTTCTCAAGACCAAGCTCGATGGCAATTCTGACAGCTTGTCCAACAAGAATCCAAGCCCTGTTAAAATGCCCCAGGCCAAGATTTGTAAGAGTCAATATTAGTAAAGCCTGCACATGGCCAAGATCTAGGTTTCCTTCTTCGTTCGGGATAAGAGCTCTTGCGTGTGTATACATTCTTTCGGCCGTCCAGACATCTTGCGATACCAGCCCCACAGCATGAGGTATGTTGTTTATTGCTCTATGTTGAAACTTAGCATAAGCTATTGCAGCCCATAAAAGTGCATGGTCACCACTGAAACCCTCCGTTCCACTATCTCTTATTTGAGAATATTGATACGAAATTCGTAGTAAATCGTGCTTCTCTACAATGGGTAGCCAGCAATGAGTATAAGAAAAATATACATCAAGTAGATGCCAGGTCTCCGATGGAAGTTCTGGCACAGCCGTACAGGCTCTCTGTGGCCAATTGTTCAGTGTAGCAAGCTCGTATACACCGGCAAGTGCCCAATGATTGATCGATTCTTCATTTCTTTCCAATTGTTGATGATTGAGGTTTGTGAAGTGCGTTTCCTTTCCTTCAACGTCTCTACCTTACAGCAAATACTCAGTAGGAGAATCATATTGTCTAGAATTATTGTGTTTGTTTTCTTGATATACTATAATTATAACATTTTTGATAGGAAATGAGAAAGATTATAAGTAATATGCGTTCTGAGATAAGTAAACAGTGCTTCTGTTCTTCGAGTTCAGCTTCTGAACTGTATCACGTAACCTTATATGACCGGGCTAGACTGCACTTCCAATAATCAAAACTGAAAAAAAAGATAGAAAATTTCGAATTATTATTTTAATTCCTTTTATTCCAGGTTTCGTTAATAATCTTTGAAATAATATAATTTTAGAAATGAGAGTTATTATAGATTATTAATATAAATCTATTTATTGAAGTAAATATTCAATATTCGAGTAAATCAGAAAGGAGAGTGTTGAATTAGAAGAATATATCTTTTTCTTTAATTTACATTGTTTGAATATTATTTCGATAATTAAAAGATAAAAGGAAAAATCTGGTATTAAGTATCAAAATATATGAAAAAAAACCAAAACAAAGGAAATATATCCTTAGGTAATTATAATTCTGAAATTGAAAAATTGATAAATATAATCAATTGAAGAATAAGACTAAAGATGCTTTATATTATAATGATTCTGGAGATGAATCTCAGGAGAAGAAAAACCGATGTTAAGAGAAAGTTAATATCAGGTGACACCCAGGAACAACAACAACAACTAACAACTCACAGCCAGAAGCCAATCCCAACCCACAACAAATTAAAACGAAACGAAAATCTACACTCAAACACAACTCACACCTCACACCTCACACCTCACACCTGATAACCCAACCCAACCTCAACAAACAAACAAATCAAAACGACTCTCTACACTCAAACGAACTCGCAACCATAGGATCCCCTCCCAAATAAGCTGCCACCAACGGCCAAACGCACAAATTTCTCTCCACCACACTCCCATCCACTCCCGGCAAGCTTTTCGCCGCCAAAACATTTGGTGCAATCCCCTTCTCTACCCACGATACCAAAGCTCCCAATGCAGCCTCCGGAAACGGTCCATTTCCATCCCCACAATGCTGTACGCCCGGCGCCTCAAAGAATCTATAAAAATCCCTCACATTCGCATCTCTTTCCTGTACTTTGCTATAATAGTCTAACGTACCATTTGGGGAGATTAGAAAATCTGCTAATCCATGCCAACTGATGATTTTTCCCCCTGTTTCTTTGTATGCGCTTAGATCCGTGTCGGAAGTTCCGATTATCGATGCGAATTCCTGGATTGAGGAATGGAATATGCGGGTGTATTCCTTGCGCGTCATATTTTCCAGGGGAAAACTAGCGTTTTTGAGAACGAACAGAGTAATCCAATCCAAAGCGAGAGGATAGGGAGTCGCTGTACAATTGGTATTGGGCGATGTACAAGTTGTCATAGCGATACCGATACTGAACGGAATACTGAGCGGACTGGAAGGATTCAAACCATACCAGAGGAACGACCCATCATCTGACGTCGGGCCATCCCACGCCGCTTGCGCAATTATCGCAGCTCCGTCGGAAATATACACAGAGCTTTCATCTGCACAAGTCACGTTCCTTCCAACCGTTTCGTTTGCTTGAAAAGTGCATAGACCCGGCGCACTCATTATCCCATCTATAACTCCATCCAGCCCATCACAAGCCGCGATTGCCGCAGCAGTAATCCCGTCCAGTTCGCACATACTCGGATATATACCCAACATGTACATAACAAACGAAGGCCAATAATCCGCCACCAGAAACTGAGACCAATTGATTGCAGGCGCCGCAGCCAATATACCATTATATGCCTCAGGATATCTCTGCGCCATCATCATACCCTGTCTTCCTCCTTGCGAACATCCATTCCAATATGAATAATCCGGTTCCTTTCCATAATACGAAGCGGTGATGGCTTTTCCAACGATCGCCATATCATTCAAGGATACGGAAGCGAGATCTTGGAGGAGATACAGATTTATGTTTCCGGGGGATATAAGAGCCCAGTCAGAGATTACAGAGGAATCCATGCTTAGGTCATCACTATGCCCGCCATCTGTGGTAGCGGCGGCATATCCTTCGGATACGGCAATGACAATAGAGGGGTCTAAACCTCCGGCGACAAATCCCCCGCCGCCTGTTCCCATAAATCGTCCGTTCCAGGTTGAGAAAGAGGGTAGGTATATTTTTACGTTGATGCTGTCGTTTTGACCCGGATGTGTATATGTAAGTGTTATATTACAAAAGTCAAGTGAAGTGATGTTTGTGGCGAAATGCGAGTCGATTTGAGTAGTGGTGGTTGTGTAGTTTACTACGGGTACCGCTGTTCCATGGAGGAATGATGCGCCGGGTAGGTGTGGATAGGGGAATGTAGAGATATCGCAAGTATTGTTCATTGTATTGTTCATTGTGTATGTAAAGTGGTTGTGAATCGAAAAGATGCGAGAATGATGAGTAGATATTTTCCTTGATGATGGATAGTTGATAATGATTATATTTATATATATATATTAATCTTTCGCAGCAGCAGTCATACATGAGAAAGAGGGAGCCGGAGCCAAGATATCGATCACTTTGCAAGGCAATATAAATTGATCCTTCAATCTTCCATTGACAACGAATTTATGGAGTCGAATTACCGTTACGATAGTATACGGTGATTTTGCGAATGTATACGGCGTATACATGGGTTATATGCAGGGTTTAGTGATTTAGCTATTAGGATCCCGTGATATCAACTTCTGAATGGAAGTCATTTACTACTATAACCATTAAATAATTATAATTCAATAACCATTTATTAATTGAACCTGAAACTTATTATTCAATATACCTCCATCATCTAATAAACCTATATGAAAAGAAATTAATCAAAATATTATTATTCGTTGCTCGATACAAAATACAAATTATCATATGAGGGGATTCAGAATGAGATTGAAATTTTGATTATTAATCGATTCCGAAAAGCCTCTGATCTGAACCCCTTACCCATATACATACTAACTAGCTGCTAAATCACTAAATCCTGCATATGCATAAACAATCTTGCGAAGGTTATCTTACTCCAGTAATCATGCATCGATTTGGTAGGTAGCTGGAGGGTAAGCCATTCCCTATTGAGCGGGGAAAATATGCCACGAATGAATACCGAAGGATATTGCGGAGTAAAAAGTGGGTTCAAGTTTGCGCATTCATATTATCGTATTCTCGTATTCTCGTATTCTCGTATTCTCGTATTCTCGTATTCTCGTATTCTAATCGTCGCCCATACGCGTATCAGTATCTATCAATACACGGTCAAGTAACCGCGTACTAGCATTCGAAGTTTTCTTCAAATTGCTAATACCCTGTTGAGAAATCTTGAGATATCGTAAATACTTCCCACATCACGAATAACCCATATCATACTCGTATCGTCTTGAGATGAAGTATTGTTGGTTAACACCTTCCTTATCATTAATACCTCCTTCATCACAGATAATCCAAAACCAAAATGATCATGCCGATTGCTCAGTCACATCCATAGCAATCTTCATGTCGGAAGTCTTTCGGAGTCCCTGGAAACCTTTCGACTTTTGAATCCCATTTATACCAGAAACACTCTTCGAATCCCTACTGCCAAATGACAATCTCTTCTATTATTCCTCACACTCTATCCAGTCCCTCAAAAAGCCTAACCCTCCAATCATTTCCGGGATTATTAAATCTACTCATCCATTTCCTCCCTACAAACCTCAACTTTGTCAAATCTGTATGTGTCAATTGACACGTCACCGCTTGCAAATTCTCTGCAATCCAACTTTTATAACTGCTCTTAGGTATCACACTAATTCCCCTATTCATATTCCATTTTAGTGCCACTTGAGCTGGGGTACAATTTCTCCTGTTGGCTATCTCTTGGAGAATTTTGTTCTGGAGTAGAGGTGGTGCTTTTTTTCTTTCTTTGGTTTCTTCTTTTTCGGTTTCTCTGTCTTCGTTCATTTCTTCGTTCATTTTTATGAATATAGATAGGGATAAAGATGAGTAATAAGTAGGATTAGTATTTCCCAAAGGAGAATAAGCTATTATTTTTATTCTAAGGGCTTTGTGAGTAGTAACCTAAGCAGATTACTGTAAATAGGAATAGAGTTCTATTTGATGTGTATAAGATATGATACTAATAGAAACAACATTTTTGAGTTGGAGGGGGGAGAAGTTAGATACACCAATACTGAGAACATAGTTTTTGGGGAGAGAGATTAGAGATTTGTAGATTTGTTTGGTATTAGTTGGGCAAGAAATTCGGAGAAAATATGAAAGGACGGACTTGTATATAATCAAGTACTTTAGATCTGTCGGGGGAGAATCCAATAGGCTAGTGTATGAGATATAAATCCAGATACTCAAGTCTAAGATCTTTGAGAGTCTGATTTAATCCCTTTTCCATATTCTCATAATCTCCATAACTATTTTTACCAAAATATTAGTTTTCTAATAAATTTCTTGTAATCAATTTCCTGAATCTGAGTTAAAGAGTAATATACCGATCATTCCAAAGCTTACTCGTGACCCAGATATCCTTTCTCTTCAATCCCGCCCTATTTAACCCCTTTTTAATCCCCCGTTCTACATCCACTTCATTGTTATACGCAGCTGCACAATCAATCTGACGATATCCAATTTCAATTGTGTAGGCGACGGCTTCGATAATGTTTTCAGGGGAAATGTTTAGATTCCATGTTCCAAAGCCGATTAGAGGCTGTGGAAGGGATTGTGTTTGGGATAAGGGTGAGGTTAAGGGAGGGAATAGTAGTGTGATTAGATATTGTTGGGGGAAGGTTTGAATGGTGTGGGTAGTAGTAAGGGAGAGGGAGAATACTAACTGAAGGAGGTTGATGATATGTATGGTTGATAGATCTAATCGATGAAGCTACCTAGATTTGAGATAGTATCTAATTTTGGAGCGAACTATAGGGTTGTGAAGTGCATTATTGACTATGTTTAATGGGTTGATCATTATGATGTTGGATCAAATTGATCAGACAAAAGGGGGGTTCGCGTGGCTACTGTGGCACTATCCCCGGTGCGCCAACTTACAACGGAGCGACTGCGGAATAATGAGTTTCCGTTCGTGTTATTATATAATCTAGATGAGTCTTCCAAACCTCTCCAGCGTTTACCACAAAGACTTTTCACCTTCTGCTTGAATATCTTCAGGATATCTAAGAAGAGTTGGCTTGGAGATAGGATAGTGATACTAGTATTTACATTACGATACGTCACATGATAACCAAATCCCAAGAAAGGTAAAAGGCTCGTTTACATATCTCTCTTGCACTTCTCCTCTCCTTCCCGTCTCTTTAATCCAACAATAATCTCAATTCATACAACACATCAATACATCGGGGCACAATCCTTACGAGTCATACAAAATTAGACAAAATGAATAGCGGTATCTTTTTGGAATTCGATGGTTGTCATTGAGCTGTGGTGGATGAGATCGCGGAGGTTGTTTCAGTTTGAGCGAATGTGAGGGGGGTGAGGGATAGAAGCGTGAGGAGAATCGCGATGATGGAGAGTGTTTGCGACATGGTGCTGTATATGTGTTGGTACATTGTCTTGGTCTTGTATAAATTGCTTTCCGTTTTTTTTTTCATCCGTAAATGTATACACAGTGAGAGAGAATAGATATTACACACAAATGAATGAACAGCGATAAAGGTAGGGAAACAAATTGAACACAGTATATATAAGGAGAAAAAAAGAAATGATTAAGGACACGTGAAAGAAATGATAGTAAACTGAGCTACCGTACTGTATAACATAACTATTCTGTAGATCTAAGTTCGCATGGCGAGCTAGATAATCAAGTGTGTAAATAATAAGCTGGAGTTAGTCTTTATGGCCAAGACTTCAGCGCGGTAGATGGATAGTTGGGGTGCCTAGACCTTGTTCTGGTTTAGGTTTTGCTTAGTAAATGCTTAAAGTGTTGTTAGTGGGCTTTGGGGGTTAATGAGGCGATATCTTGGATTTGGGGCGGCGGGGGGGAGGGGGGGGGCAAGTGTGGGTAGGGTATAGTTTTGATCGCTTAAGTTGCTGTGAAATGGTTTGGTATTGATAGATTGAATCCTGAAGATTTTATTGAGAAGTCGTCTTCAATCCAATCCAATCCCAATTGACAACACACTCAATCTTGACAGAGGAAACGCAGTGGAATAGCACATGAAGCCGAAGTTTCAGGCATATTTACAGTAGCGCCATGCTGTGGAACTATGAAGCAACATGAAATCTCTTCTTAATTGAATACGAAGTACATGAACACAGAGAATCCGAACGTACAGAGAACTAAAGTTTCTTTGAAACCTGTAATTCGGTATACCGGCAGGATATACATCGTGAAATTGATATCTCCCAAGCTAGGATGATTACCTTACAGAATCTCTCTTGCCTCAGATGTATCTAGGCACAAAACATCCCTATTCAGTGCGAGAATTTTATGTGGCCTGTTATTGGTATTCCAAATATACTTATTTAAATATTCAATTCCTTTCAGATCATCAGAGAACTTTTACTCTGACTCCAGTACCCGGTTTGGGAACATTAACAACATATTCAGACCATAATTCCACAGCATCCTGTTTTGTTTCCCACAATTCGAATTCGCATCTTCTTACTAAATTCGCAAGTGCGATATAGAGCTCCGCATACGCTAGATTCATCCCTAAGCATTGCCTGCTACCCTTTGAGAAGCTGACTAGATATTTCGACAACAACTTTTCTTCTCCTGAGGCAACTTTGACTTTTGGTGGTAGCCCAGTGATTGGATCTGAAAGCCATCGTTCTGGGATAAAAGAATGACAAGATGGGAAAATTGATTCGTTGTGGTGAATTAAGTGTGTGGCACAAGATAATGGAGTACGAGCTGGAATTATGTAGGTGTGTCCTGTTGTTGGATCAGTGTATGGGAGCGGTTTATGTGCTAGACGTGGAAGGTTTGAAACTGTTCCCATGGAAAGACGAAGTGCTATTTAACCCGACTATGTCAGTGGATAGGTACAATATCTAACGAACTCGGTGTTCAAATTACCTTCTTGTCCAACTGCGGTCAAATACGGCAATTTCTCGAGTGTTGACAACGACGGAGGGGAGAGCAGATCTGGAAACACTGTAAGGATTTCCGCTCGTAGCTTAGCAAGAAGCTCTGGTTTGTCCAGGAGATGGAACATGGCGACAGTCAAGGTCCACTTTGTCGTCTCTACCCCGGCACCAACAATCACTTGTGCTTCTTCATGAAGTCTTTTCTCAGTTTTCTCTTCAAGAGGAAGATCGGACATCATGATCTCGTGGAATATCGTCGAGCGTGAAGTATCATTCTTCTCCTTCATTCCATACATTACCGCTCTCAATTCAACCCTAAGATCCTATTTTTGGTCAGCATCAACCACGTCTTGGGTCTGTGACATTAACATTACCTCAAGCCAATCCAAAACGGGCTTCGACTTCCCTGGAACAATTCTCTTCAGAATCCCATGTGGCAAAGCAATCACCAAGTTCATAATCCATGCCAAAGATGGAAAATTCTCCGTCCAGTGCATCACGTGTAATAAGCCGGCCACGGCCACCATGAAGTCTGACGTAAACCCTTCTCTCTCACAAAATCCATAATTGTTCCCAAAGCTACACTCCATCACCACATCTGTCGTATAGCAGGAAAACACATCTCCAAGATTCAGTACTTTGCCGGTGCCTTTATATTCATTATTGAATCGATTGATCAAGATATCGACTCGAGATTGTATGAAAGGAACGAATTTCTGAATATTGGGCTTAGAAAAGAAAGGATTGAGAGCCGCACGTCGTCGTCGATGAAGGAAGTGATCTATTGTGGATTGACCCGAGGACGGAACCGTGGGTAGAGACGAATGAAGGGGAATCTTGTCGCGTCTGTCGGTGGTGTAAATTGTGTCATAGAACTCAGGATCGCTGATATGGAGTTCGGAAGGATTTATGCGGACAATAGGGCCTATCAAGTTTTAGTACAGAACCGAAATTGGATCAGCGGACAAACCATATTTCTCGTGCCATTCAGGAAGTTTTCGAAAGAACTGTCCACCTTTTACAAGTTGGTGGTATATCTCGTACCATTTAGTCGCCGCTGTCAGTTTGGGACCAGGGAAAGCAGATAGAGGACTGAAATATAGTCTATATATGGCCAAAGTGAGTGTGTATGCAATAATCGCATACACACACATCAACAGGTTGATCTGAGATATCGCAGTGAGAACTCCCATCTTAGCTGATATACTTGAGGTAACAACAGAAAATAATATTATTTTGAGAGCAGAGAGCAGAGAATGAAGATATAATACCGGTGCAGCATTCACCTTCATCCCCCCACCTTCACCCCCGTTTTTGGTATGTCGCCAACCAATGAAATACTTCAATTGATTCGTGGAAACGGTTTCCGGTACACTTCATGACTTCATGCGTAGCTACGAATCAGTCTCCACTTGCAGAAAGTGGTTATTGCATTATGTCCATCCGAATTGGTTGCATCCTAGATGTTTGATTCCATATCTTTGAATGTCGACCAATGATGCATGGCTCTTTTCGAAGCATTCCACAAATAACACACCAACTACTCAATATACTTAAGTATTGTCGTCAGTTTAAACAACATTATTGGTAGGATTCGGAAGGGGGTTTGATGGCTTTCGACGTCGATATCAATTCACACAGCTTAGAAAAGTTCTATTACACCGCCCACATTATATTCTGCCGTCTGTTCTGCCATCTATTCTGCTGACTAAATACCGCAAGTAGCAGCGGTGTAATACAAGTCGCCGCAATCAATGTCTTCAAAATTAGTAAGTTTAGTACAGATTATCGAAACACAGTCCAGGTAGATTTGTGAGAAAAGACTATCTCCTTTTATGAGTCTAAAACTAGAATCGGACAAACGAGACACAAATCTTGTAAATTTGCCAGAAGCGTCATCTCAATATCCAAGCTAGGATTGGACATTCACAGGCCAGCATCTGAAATCATGCCATCCACAGAATACCGTTGAAGGGTTCAGGTTGTAGGTATGAAGAATGGTGTCCTTATTATTATGATGTGAGGTGAAGCTAAAGCTATATACTAATCGACTAGGCTAGAGTCGCATCTTCCATATTGATCCCCAACACTGTATGAGAAGAATTCAACGGAAAATATCATTATTTTTGATGTCTATAGCAAAGCGTGGAGAAACTAGCTTCAATCCATCTTATATCCTAGAAGTTAGTGTCCAATTTCGCTTTGAAGAGCCTTCGAAGTGGATGTACAACTTTCCATGCCGCTTGTACATCACAAGTCTTGTAGTTTTGATAGGTACAGTAAAAGTACTCCGGATATTTGTTATAATGTTTCCTTTAAACGAACATTGGAAACTCACAGCGTGTTGCTTCTGTGAGAAGTTTGTACATCCGTGAACTTGACAGTACGGAGTTCCGCAAGACAAACGGCGAAAAGACATGTAACAACAATGAACAACTTTGCATCATTCCAACTGAAAACAAAGAGGTGCCGACGAAGAGCCACTGAGATGATCTGGCTATCTTTAAGAATGGTGTGTTAGGACTCTGGCTCATGAGATATCTAAGTGGCTTGGGAAGATGGTCTCTGTAAGTATACTTCAATTGCTCGCTCGGGCAGAGACTCATCACTGATCGAGTTCCACGAATTCGAGAATTTGCTTTATCAGCTCTAGATGGGCTACTATCCAGTTTCCGAGTATAAGTTATAACCTCGCTTCATGTTACCCAAATGAACCCAATCTATAAACTAGGTATACGACTAGGGCTTCCGTTTTGTGAAGGCTGTTTGCATTACCCGCAAACCCTTTACGTATCCAGAAGTCGGTAAAATTATTAGTGCTCTTGAACTTCTATACTATTGAAGTTCTGGTACCTGCCAAATTTGACTTCTGTTTACACATCAGATATTGTTTATTTTCAAAAGTCGTACATGAGCATAACGAGGTCAGATCTGGAGAACCAGGACCAGATAAAGGTTGCAAACTTAGGATCAGACACATCATGAAGGAAAAACTGGATTATTCTAAGACTCTGTCGTTACAGATGTTGCTTTTGATCGCGCTTCATATTATGGGAGCACGTTGGCTGCATAGTGTCGACTTTATGGAGGCTAGTGAGGCTCAGATGGACCCACGAACTATTTTGTTATTCGAAATGGGCATGGAAAAAGGGCGTTAGCCATAGATCCAAGGACTTCTAACCTGGATTGGGTAAACACAGGTGTTCTCAAGGTTTTTGACACCACAATACAGTAAAGCAACCTGAAGAAACTTGATCTAAGGTTTTGATCGCGGCACCTGTTGTGCAACAGTCGACGTTCAGCCATATTATCTCAATCCACAAATTATAATTGAGATTCCATAATATCTAGGCTGTTTTGCGGAATCCCAGGTAATTACTTCGCTGACAATCAATCCTGCTTCATTGTGTGATTGATCGCCAGGGGGTTCAATACAATACAACATTTAGCAATCACTACCCAACTCAAATAGTTGGAATATATAGGACTGCTGGATCAATAGAGACACCGCCAAATCATGCCAGGATCCGAAAAATGACCAGAAAGCGAACTTGAGAATTTTCCAACTTTGCGCACACAATACTCACATCATTAACATCTCTCACAGACGTGGAATTGATCTCCCGTAACCAAAGGATTCTGTTTAAATGATGAAACAGAAGAACAGGATTAGATTCTGGAAGCTGCCAAGTGAGTTTTTCATGCTATGGGGATCGCTTGTCTTGAAGCTACCCGGTTGTCTTCTCTACAACACTTCAACACTTCAAGTCAAGGAAGGCTACTAAGGTGGACTAAATGGAGCTTTTAAGTTTTCAAAAGCTGTATCTACGTCAGGACGATTAGGCGGGTATACTAGAAGAGTAGTTTGATTGTTTCAAAAGGTATTTGACAAAGGAAAGTCGTACTAGGCTACCAAGAAAAAAGTAGTCGAGAAAGACTAGAAGGGGTGGCTATTTGGCCCGGGTCGAAGAAAAGTGCAACAGTGAAGTGAGATTACATTGTCTTCTCGTCAAGAGCATAATATAAAAAATGACTGGTAGTATTGTAAGACTATTATCTATCACCTGCACCTCTTCATCAGTAGGTCCAAGTCCAAATTCTGGAAACACCCGATTTAGAAGTTCCGATCATTCAAATTGCAGCCCGACGATAAAGAAGATTTGATCTTTGATTCATTTTGTACATTGCATTTAGCTGAAACATTGAATCTATCTGAAACAGTGAACTCATTTAATATGATGAACTTGAGATATGAACCATAATTATTCGAAAAGTCAAGACTAATTGCCAGTGTAAAACGGTGGCTGATATCGAGGCTATACCACTCACAGCAATACGTATAAAATTCTGTAATACTCAGATATACATATTGATCCAAAATAGTAACATTAATAATATACCCAAATATGGAAAACAAATACAAGAAAATCCAAAACATCTCTACATTCCATTCCTTACCTACATTCCTCAAATATTAGCTCCAAAATATATCATAATCTAACAATATAACCTAAATCCAATCATATTCCGTATTTCAATATCCTACTAGTGATATTGCAGTAATATAGAATCTAATATCACATATCCCAATATCTTTCAAAATATGCTATACGTACCACTGAAGTAGGACGTATACAAAATAGTGAAATTACTGATTACAACACTGCTAATTGGAATATTAATAGGAAGCCTATCAAGATTCGTTCATTCGCATACTCTGACTCAGGCTTCTTTTCTACCTATTATCTTGTTCGCGAAGAGGGCGCTAATAATATAGTATACCTACTGTAGATCCTTGGCACACATCCCTAGCACAGATCCCTAGCACACAAGGGCATTGGCACCATATTACACTCCCAGAATCGTCGGGAGTGAGTAAGTCGATAGCCACGTATTCAATATGCTTACAGGATATGATGATTAGCATATGGCATAACTAACGAAGCGATTTGTCGTTTTGACAATCATCGGCGGGGATGATGCCCTACAACGTTTATGTTTCGCATATGACAGGATGTGGTGGGGATCACATTGTACCCTTTGGAATTTGTGAAAAATATGCATATCGGAAGTGTTGTAGTTTTTTGTGTAAAAACTCGTCTCCAACCTCCAAATTTATCCAACTTACGCTTTCACATTTATAGACACGTGGGAGTGATCAATCTCATACTCCAAATGGACTCGGTTTAATGTGTAAAGAAAGTTTCAGAAAAATCATGTCTGACCTTAAGGGTATATATATATATAAGATAGTGTTTAGAGTCTATAGTGATATGAGCACATTCACTTTATTCCTTCACTCCCCAGCTACCCACGATAGCCATAGCCTTCTCGTCTCCATTTTCAACTCGCCCATCATTAAGTACACCAGCCAGACATTTCCAAGGATCTCTACCGCCACCCCATTTCAGAACTTCCTCTTTCATCTTCTCACCATTGTCTCTGCGAACGCTACCACCAGCTTCTCCACCTTGGAATACCACTTGCCAAATTCTCCTCGCCAGAACTCTATCGAATAAATAACTGTAATAACTACTACCGTATCCAAATAGATGGCCGAAGAACCCTTGCCAGCACGTTCCGGGAGGATCAACAGGAAGAGCACCATGATTATGTTGTAAAGAATGGTATACTTCTGTTGAATTGAAAGATGAAGATAGCGGCAAATCAGAATGATAAGCCAAATCGAGCATAGAAAGGATTATCTGATTTTCTGTATCAGACCCTTCGAAACGCTTGTCTGATGCCAGTTTCTCGGCTACCATCTCATATGGGAGCGGTTGATCAGTTTCGTAATGGCGCGCAAATAGTGAAAGTACAGATGGATCTGCTGCAAAGTGTTCCATAAGGACTGAAGGCAACTCTGCGAAGTCGGTAGCACAACGTGTTCCTGAAACATTCTGCATTGACGTTCGCCCTAGAATAGAATGGATGGCATGGCCCATCTCATGGAAGAGCGTTTGTACCTCGCTGAACCTGAGAAGTGCTGGGCGGGAAGACTTTCCAGATATTGTGACGAAGTCACAGATGAGGGCTATGGTTGGCAATTGCTTTAGTACCCCTGAAGATCTTGAAGTAGCCATACCATCGTTGGCAGCTTCTGCATCGCTCTTAAATAGATCATTTTCAGATAATGTCGAAGCTTCTTCAAGCTCTGCTGTCGTAATCTCTCGAGAACAGCGAAGTGTAAAATGTGCAGGATTTGGAGACTTTCCGGGACGGGAAAACAGATCGCAATAGAGTACGGCAACATGACCATCTGTTTCAGAGATGACATCTAATCTTCGAACATCTGAATTCCACGTTTCTCCCGGCATTGTCTCATGGGGCACAAGTCTGACGCCGTAGAGACGTGTAAATAGCCTAGAGAGTCCTTGCATGACTCTACCAAGCGAGAAGTATGCTGACAGAAAATCGGAATTGCGAGAGTGTGAACGAACAGAAGCCAAAATTTGTGCCATGTAATAATCTTTATCCCATGGCTGTAAACCCGGGGACGATGCATTAGGATTCGACAATTTAGCCTTAAGGAGCTCGGAAACTTCTCCTTTAACAATCTGGTTATTGTCCTTTGCCAGTGCCTGCAAGAACTGTGACACGGATTCTGGACTTTTGGCCATTTTGTCTCCTAAGGCTAGGTGAGAGTAACTTTCGTACCTCGAGAGTTTAGCCAGCTCCGCTCTTTTGCACAGCAGCTCCTCGAGCTTATTTACTGTGTTGCTTGAAGCTGTGCGAGTGGCCATATATATCGCTTTTCTGACTTCTTCATTTTGAATTGATCTAATGGCGTCTGCAGCCGCACTTCCCATGGTTGGTAGTTTGGTTTGTCCCCATGTCGTATGTTTCTTCACTGAAATTGGATCCATACCTTTCAGCTGACTACTTTCAAACATCAGGTAGGGTTTCGCGGGTATCATATAATCAACAAATTCAGGGCCAATTTCACTGATTTCCTGTGAGAGAGCTACGAATTTCTTTTGCTGGGCACGCGGCAGATCAATGGCTGATTTTGCAAAATCTTTCCTCAGAATGTCTGCGACCACCACCTCCTCCTCCGTCCATCCTGCCACGATCTCTGGCATTCCCATGGCTACTTCAAGTTGTTTATCTAGCCCAGTTGTTGTATTCAAAATATTCATATACTCGAACATCTCTGCGTAGGCTCTCGAAGCAGCTGCTTGTATGGCTGCATTCGGGTGTGTGGCTCGAACGAAATCCGACAAATCTATGACCCGGCATAACAGATCACTAAGACGATCCAAGTCTCTAGCGACATGTTTGTATTCCTCGGTTGTCGAGGCCTTCAAAACTTTATCTACAATCCTTTGTGCCTTTCGCAGACTTATGTTCGCAAAAACCTTGAATCCTTTGGGGTCGACGAGGTACCGATTCTGGAAAAGTCCAATAGCTGGACTGTTGTAACTTTGCTTTGAGGATTGAGAGAATTCGGCCCAGAAATCCGGGGAGTCAAAAATCTGCTGTAACGTTTTATCGTCATGTTTGGCACCTGGAGCAGAATTGTCTACAGGAACAGGTCGGGGTTCGCGATATTGTGTAGAAGCAGTCGCAAGCCCTCGATGCGATTGAATCTGCCTCTTAACACACCGGGAACATACCCACGGCCTGATCCTAGCCACTTTCAACATACTTCCAGGGCGTATTCGTACGAACTTTGAGTTCAATGGCTCAAAAGTTGGTGATTGATAGACGACAATAACATTGATGCGGAGAATACCTTAACCTTACAATGCTGACTTTCATAATTTATGCATTTATCTTAGGACGAAAGTAATTACGTCAGCATAATTTCATAAAAAATCATGAGAACGGAAGCTAACGAAGCTTTAACGACCGCGGAACTCAAAGCCCCAAAACATTCCATCCAATTGTACGATCAAATCAAGTCAATTGAGCAATGGCTTCCAGAGTATTACTGCGGCAGGTGAGTAGATATGAATGAATAAAAAGTATATTCGACTAACATTATAAAGGGCATTGCGCCTGCAGCAACTGGCGCAGCCTTAATCGGAATGGCTCTCTATCCCCGGAGACCATTACATGCCGAAGCACCAGATACCACCACTGATGTACGCAGCAGCGTTTACAACTACCCCATTTTCTTCACTGGCTAACGGGTCTTCTGCAGGGTAGGAAATCTATCTACGATGACTTTGAGGACCTCCCTTCCCCATCCACGCCAACTCTCCCATCCTCCAGATCCAGAAGCCCCGCGTCGGAGGTAATATCGAGGAGACCTCCTGGTCCAACGCCTACCGATAGACTCGCTGTGCAGATAGGAAAGAGTCGATTATTCCTCTACGCACACGTCGTCGCCGCCGAGAACAAACTAAATTCTATGATGGACTCTGCCCTTCACCTTGAAACCAGCTTTACTTCCACGATTGCATCGCTAGCACCATCTCAACAATCCGGGGAGAAGTTAATGCCTGGGTCCATCTACGTCTTGGTTGCCGCTATGACGGGCTCAATAATATCCCGAAACAGGAACATCGTATTGAGGGCTGCTGTGCCTTTCGCAGTCGGAATTGGAGCAGGATGGGTCGTCCTGCCCGTAACGATGAGAAACGTGGCAAATTTGGCATGGGAATATGAAAGGAGGTTTCCAGTGATTGCGGACTCACATATGAGAACGAGGGAGAGTGTAGAGAAGGCGTGGAGAATGGCAAGGTTGCATTCGAAGCAGGCAGTTTCAATAGTGGATGAGAAGATCACTGAAGGGAGAGTGAAGGTAGAGGACTGGGTTAAGAAGGGAAAATAGAGAAGTCGGCTGATATTGTAGGATTGTTTCAGATTTGAAGAAAACAAAAAAACTCGATGACCTTGTACAAAATCCATAATAGAAGTTTCGGTCTATGCTACAACTTAAATTTTGCCCAAGTTCTGGCTGTGGTGCCGTAGGATCCGAAATTCTCATTTCTTAGGAGAGTGCAAGGAAACTCGATCATCCTACTTGTTGCATGGGTTTCTGTGAAATCACTAGTATATGAACCTACTCAAGGTCAAACAACTGTTTTTGTTTTGAGATCGCAAGGCTATGATAACCCTCATGCAGTTCAAGCTCCAGGCTCATAAAATTCAAAAATTCCCGTGCTCTGTTTCTATTTCAAGTCTTCACTTCTCGCTCGGAATTCTTCTCTCCTGCGAACTGATCCTAAGCTTATACTCTTTGTTGGCCGATATACACTCCTCTGTCAGATTCTTAGTCCCTACCGACTCTAGCATAGAATATGGTTGATTTGATTGGGGAGACATTTTGATCGTTTTGCAAATAGACAAGGGAGTGTGTTAGTACTGGGTCACTGTTAGATAGTCGCCTGGTGAGAAATCACAGTTACATGAAAACATGTAACAGAATATCGGGAAGCATGCATAAGCAAGACCTGCCCTGGCACGTACATTAGCACCAAATTGGGTGTAACCCTTTGCTTGAACCCGAACTTGGCTCGGATCCCTCTCTATTTTTATGCTAATAGAAGCTTACATAATATTCTCACGTGACTATACGAGTACCCCGCCAAAATTATCCCCGCCGACGATGAGTCAAAAGGTATCTCCTTTTAAATATCGCGTCGTATTTCATACACTAACAACACCAAGACATGGCTTTCGATATGAGTCCAGAGGAATCGATTGCCCTCATCAAGGCAAATCTTGCTGAAGTTCTCGACGCAGAAATTATCGACAATGTAATCCTTAAAGAGAAGCGCCCTCTCAAGGTCTACTGGGGAACCGCAACGACTGGCAGACCTCATTGTGGATACTTTGTGCCTATGATCAAGATCGCAGAATTACTGAGGGCAGGCTGCGCGGTCAAAGTTCTTCTCGCAGATATTCACGGTTACCTGGACAATATGAAAGCACCTCTCGAACTCGTCGAATATCGCGCCAAGTACTACGAACGAGTAATTAAATCGGCTTTGAGAGCAGTTGGCGTCGATTTGAGTCGGTTGCAATTTGTGCTAGGAAGTTCTTACCAGCTCGATAAAGATTACACAATGGATCGATTTAAGCTGGAAGGTATTACCAGAATCAATGTCGCTCAGAAAGCCGGCGCCGAAGTCGTGAAGCAAACGGATGATCCAACACTTGGTGGTTTGATTTACCCCCTCATGCAGGCTCTGGACGAACAATACCTCGATGTCGATGCACAATTTGGTGGTCTTGATCAAAGGAAAATCTTTACTTTCGCAAAGGAAAACCTGCCAAAGATAAATTACAAGGTCAGGGCACATTTAATGAACACGATGGTTCCTGGTCTGGGAGAGGCTGCGAAGATGAGTTCTAGTGATGCGGACTCGAAAATTGATCTTCTGGATGGACCGGAGGCTGTCGAGAAGAAATTGAAAAAGGCGAAGTGTGTGCCAAAGGAAGTTGAGGGCAATGGTGTCATTGCTTTCGTCGAGCATGTCATTTTCCGCGCTCTTGCTTTGAAAAATGGGGGTTCTTCAAAATTCATTGTTGAGAGGAAAGACCAAGAGCCTCTCGTCTATGAATCTGTGGAGGCATTGAAGGAAGATTACGCGGCAGATATTGTGAGTCGTTTGTCGGGGATGATTTTCGTTGTCCAATTACTGACTTGAACCACAGCTCACGCCTCAACTCATCAAATTTGGTCTCACCGCTCACCTCAACGACATCTTGAAGCCAATTAGAGAAGAGTTTACAGCATCACCGGAGTGGCAAGCAGTTGAAGTGCAAGCTTATCCACCAGAAGAAGGTATGTTGCATTCCATTTTCTATGCTTGATCAAGCTAACTCTATGACAGGTCCAGTGAAGGTCAAAAAGGTCAAGAAAGAGATCGATCCAGCAAGAAAGGCAGCAGCATTGGCAGCAAGGAAAAACGTTGTCACACAGCCGGATGGGCATGTTGAAGGAAAAGATGCCGAAAAATTTGCGGTTGGGTCAAGCACAGAAGAAACATTAGAGAAGTTGAAGATTGCTTCAGAGTTAGAATAGAGCCATAATATACCCCAAAAGTGTTCGATCGCTTCTGTAAGCACCACTTCCTCATGAAAAATTTCGTTGCTTCCCCTGTCAATAGGAATCTATTTCGGACACTACGATACGCAATTGCATCACGTGTATAATATCTGCCCAGCATGATGGTAAGCGTTGCAAACTGTGTGGTGACATACCCCGCCCTGTTTAAGCCTTTCAAAGATCGGGCATAAATTATAATCGGTTGAACTACTGCAGCCACAGAATCCTACAGGGCGCATTTTCCCAAGGGAACGCCATCTCTGTCATCGACTCAACGAAAGCCTTACTATTAGGCATTTTAGACGAACTTTTGGGTCATGATGATTTAAAATTCCTTTGGCTTCTATGTCCTCGACAACATCAGAGGTCAATTTCTCAGACTATCATGCCCGTATAACGTCTTTTGCCGTTTCGTTTCGTTTCGTTCCGTTCCGTATACTTCAGCTACAACATTTTCGTTCACTAAATCCTTCTCTGGAAAGGTGGAACTGTGCTCTCTCTTGATTCTTGTCCCTCTCATGCGCTGCTCTCTTTTGGTATTCATTCCATATGTCTGGTCTTGTGTTTCTCTATCTTCTATGTCAACATGATGTTTAGTTCGATTTCTGATTTGCGCATCTCATTACCCAGTTTTGGATTAGTCAGCTAGTGCGATGTTCTGTATTATCATTACAGATTGACTACAGATTGATCTTTCATACATTCTTTACAGGCCACTCACATTTGTTGAACAACCTTCATTTCGATGTCCAACCGCGGACTTCCTCCATCAAGTCGTCCAAACATGAAGTTAAAAAAGAAGAAAAAAAGAAACTAGATGGGGAATTATCCTGCGAAAGCAATTCTCTCTGATACTAACAGGATAATTCAAGTGAACCGAGTCAGTAGCTTGCGACAGCAATTCTCTCTGGTACTAACAAGCTATTGAAAGCGTTCGTGTTACCACTATACTATACTCACTTTTGATTTGGTTTTTGTTAGGGGTAAGCGAGATGTTTTGGTTAATCTAAAAGAGAAAGCTCTTGGTTGTGCGTTCATTGATGTCACCGCAATAACTTGTAAGTATACAAACCCCAAAACTTTAGTGATTCACAGCTAATAGTATATCAACCTTCTGCCACCAGTGGGTGCACGGATTCATGGGACTCTTCCCAAGGTTTAAAAATCATAAGAGATTCAACTTTCTATCGAATCTCATGTCCAGAACGTATGGTCTTATTGTTTGGATATAACGAATCCTTCCACCACATTACGGAGTATATAAAGAAGTCTTTCAAGAATATAGTCAGATTCAAATTTCGAACCGCGTCATGGGTTCGTAGAACCACTTGTTTGCCTCCTTGAGAATCCCCTGCCGAGCTTTCCACGGATATGATCGGAAATATTGCAGCCCTCATTTCTTCATAGAGAGAATGTATGTTTACAAAATGAGATGGAAGCACTCTATGGTTCCGTGTATTAAGAGTCATCTTCCAGTCGTCTTCCACCAAATGAACTTTCACATGGGATCATGTATCGACCGTGATGCATGCAGATTCTCCCACATCTAACAGTTGGGTATACAGCCAATCCACGGAAATGTAGCAAGCGCTAGCGGAAATTGGTGGCAGAATGCTGAACAACGCAGATCGATTGTGATATCGTGGAGTACAGAAGGGTGGAACTTCCACGTTCTCACACAGTTGTTCTCAGACGTGTGGTATATTTGGAGCTAAGTCGTATCTATGTGATCGCAGTGCGCTGAACAGTAGTTCTTTTATTCGAACAAGGTCCAGATCCGGATCCACTACAGCTCATGTCAAAATTAGCTCCCAGGTCTTCGGTCGTTACATGGAGCATCCACTCGAATTCGGGGAACTCAGCAGCTTTAGGTCCATTAATTCCTTTGGCCAGTCGCTACTTTCAAGCTCCTTTCCAGGAAGATCACTTGAGGATGGCTTCGATCTCTACTATTACGCCTGACGGTCCAATGAACGAAAACACTGAATATCATGCCGAAAATAAGAGCCCAAGGAATAAATACTAGCATCATGAGATTGGCATTTGTTCCTAATCCAAAACCTATTGTAGTGGCCGTAAGAATGGCGAATACAAAAATAAGTGACTGGCATCGATCGCGCCCCTGACGTCGATGCGCAAACGAAGAAATTGAGCAACCTAAAGGGAGACATGCTGCGAGTAACGAATATGGAGTGCAGCCGCTATCCAATTCGCAGAGACACATTCTTTCCCACCACGGACAGGAGATTCATATGTTACAATCTAATCCAGATGCCACATAGGAAATGCGGCAGTAGAAATACCCCACCCGGACATTGGATCCCTCCTTGGAAACCTCGAGTCCGACTGATCTACCCACGGCCATCGACGTTCATCTTTCGAAATGATACATTTTGCGACGTGGTGCTTCAGGGTTTACTTTTTCTGCCTAGAGAAAACCCTAATCCGCACTTCTCGGTTTTTTTCTGATACGTCTATTGAATCATAGTTCGAGAACCATTCTAACTGTTCTACAAATGAGAGGGTTTGACTGATGCCGTATACTCGAGTATGTCTACCAGGTTGATGATGTTGTCTTGACCATTCTAAAGTATGCAAATAAATATTTCGATGCAGTTAGCGAGGTTTTATTATCTGGCATATGGGGACTCGGAGTTTCATTTTGATACAAAATTATACTCGAGTAGTTTAGAAACTACTTTACAGAGAGGCGAGCGGAGTTCTGGTATTCCTTTTTTATTTCATTTTCTTTAACATTGCGAGGGGGTACAAGGGGCACCATAGAATAACGCCCCTCAGCGGTATTGTGACTCTAGTAATGATGTAGGAAATAGGGTCACGTGGATCAAACTCCAGTTGCTCTCATAAAATATCAAGCAGCAAAAATTTCAGTTCATTTCATACCCTTTCTTTTTCCGGTATAACCTTCCCATAATTTATTTCTTCGTCGTTTTCCTCGACTTTTCAACTTCGCTTTCTATGTATTTTGATTTGAAATGGTATATCTATCTGTTCGTGCATCAATCCCAATTGGATACGCGGAGCGTATCGCTCCGTAAAGCGGGTAGGATCTCTCCTATAGTTAGCACCTCCCACTTCGTACTAAGTGGAAGGTTAGACAGAATACACACTATCTGTTCCCTTTCAAATTCGAAATGAAATAACCTCAATTGAGCCAATGAATGTCTGAGATTTAAGTCCAAAATACCATTTCCATCCATTCCACATCCGATTCAATAATACTACATCCAATTGATATCACATATCACATCCAATTCCAAAATAAGATAGAGAAACCCGTCCCTTACTTACTAATTTATACATTGCGATGAAATCCTCTGATCTACATCTGACCTATATATCTATGGCCATTGTTTTTTTGTAGTTAACATTCTTCGATTTCATCAATCATTTGCCCACGTCAGTATCAGCCGTGACGTGCAGCGACTGGGAATACGTCGATTTCAGTTTGAAGTTATCCCCCCCAAACGCAAACAATCAGTCGCACAGAATCATCTCATCATCTCCCCATCGCACAATGCAACATAAACAAAGCGACCATGGATTTGGCCCAGAAAGAAAGTGCTACGGTCTCAGTGACTGCAGAAAAGAATGACGAAGGTTAGTTACCTGTTCACCTCTGCTTTGGTGGCACAGTATTAATCAGATACTTCTTCCTTCAGCCCCAATCCCTGCGATCATGTACGGCACATTAGCTGTGAAGGGTCAGAGCAGAATCCCTTACGATTTTAACTACTACGGAGACTTCTACATTCTTAGTTCAGATCAATATAGGAAAACCACTGATGGCCTAGTCCTTCCACCTCAGGAGTATGTGACAATACCGCTTTAAATTGAAAGTCATCTAATCAAGTTCATAGTTCAGACCCCTTTCGATTTATGGATTTGCCTGCCGAGGTTCGAAAACTCATCTTCGAACTCATCGCCTCTACTCTTCTCTGTTTCGACTCTGCCTTGAAAACTTATGTCAACCATGTCAAAATTGAGAAGCATATCGTGGATCTCTTTGGGAAACCCCGCTATGGATGTCAATATGAAGATTGGGTTGAGAAATATATGGATGATCACAGGGCCACCAGTGGTTTACCAATGCAATATTCGGCAGAGCAACAATCCAAAATGCTTTCTGAATATGACAGATATGTAATGCATATCTACGAAGACCACCCGGACAGAAACAAATATGACATGGAAATTGCCGATCACTGGCTGCTGCCACCAAACGCAACCCGCCAGGAACTCAGCTGCGAATTCCTCGAGTGGTTTCGAAAATTACTACACGTTAGTGCGCATTTTAGATTGAAGCTTGGTTCTGTGATATGGGCAAGATCTTGTATACATTTTTGTGGCGACATCGATGAGTTGGTATTAGGTCACTTCCTGAAAGCAAGGCCAGGAATATCAGAGGGAATCAAAGAGCTTGTGATTACTGTGGGAGATAATGATGAACTTTCATTTCTGGAGAACGTCACCGACAAGTCAAAGGAGGCCGATACAGCTAACTTTAAGGCTTTAATGAAATTAGTCTCACAGAAATTGACTTTGGAATACTTCACTTTACGCATTGGCGGTACAAAGGGTAGACTAATGGCTCTTGCAGCAGGAGAAGGTCCTTTGGAGGTCTTGACCAGCATCAGAGAACTCCAAGTTACCAAGAACTTTTAAGTCGAGATGATGGATAGATCGGTCGGTTTTCTTGGCCAAGTAGATTGGGATGCTTATGAGGATACAGCTGACAGGTTCAATGCTGAATGGGAACCAAAGATCAGAACAATCCTCATGCCAAACACTTTGCGTTCTCAAGAACTAAGAACAGACCGACAGAAATATCTTGTGGCTCGGACAAATGTGTAAAATCCGGTGCTGTTGCATAGTAGATGTGGTGTTTTACTTTGCTATGTGGTTCAGAACGAAATGTGTTATTTCTTCCAACATGAGGTTATAAGTCGGGTATCTCATGATTCAAAGGCAATATTGGCTTGCAGAGATGCTGGACGTGGAGAGAATCATTAGAGCAGTACAACGCGCCAATTTGGCAATTGTTCATTTTTACGAGTACATGACTTTGGAAGTACATGGCTAGGAATATCAGTATGCCCTGTTGACCATCTTGACATCTTTACATCCTACTACTAGTGACTCCAAGACGATACCACATGTTGAAAAAATCTGGAGAGTATGAAATCCAGAGGTAGGATTTATATGAAGTCCATAATGAGGATTCTCCATGCACTTGGGGAGTTCATATAGATATTTTTACCTGACGTGACATCAAATCATAGGGTATAGATTTAGACCACGTTGAAGTCTTTAGCAAATTCATATGGTTGATTAGTTGATGAGTATTTACATGAGTTATGAGTACAGATAACAGGATTATATGATGAGGAAGAGGAAGAGGAAGAGGAATAGGAATAGGAAGGTGGTTGTAGGTTCAATGGAATTGATTGATCTACCGGTATATGAGTTGAAATGAACTTTTCCGGATACTGTAAATCAAATACGGAAGTGTTTAATTACCTTCACTTGATTCCAATATCCAGATTGGCATTTTATGTTTTGGGTTGTTTTTTTCATTCGGATTTGAAGATAGGTTTGATGGTGTTTTTGGTCAAATTTTAGTTGTGATTATTTAGATGGATGATGGATGATGGTAGATTGGTTTTTAAAGATAAGGGTATAATTAATGGTTATAAGTGAGATATGTACATTCTATTTTGAAACTGCCAGTGTATAGTTGGTAGTTTAAAGTAGGTGGGAAACTGATACAGTAGTCTGGGAGAGTGTAGTTTAACTAGTAGAGTAGTTGGAGTTATTGTATAAACCAAACTAATTGATAAACTAGTAGTTTTGTAGTTAAAATGGCAATCTAATTGGTTGAATTGGTTTAATTTTAGTGGACTAAATCAATTACCAGTCTGGATATAGCAAACTAAACTTATTGACGAACTAAACTACTAGTGTATTGGTTCATTTGGTTAACTATTGATTGATTATACTGCTCCAAACCGCAATATCCCGAGTCACGGGGAATAATCACTTGGGTATGAAGGAAGAATGAATATTATTGGAAGTCACCTCGACCCATAATATAGAATAACTTCATAACGTGACATCATATCAGTTGTATACATGTTAGATCTGTCTCATGAACCTGCAAAAGCCTTCTCCCCAAACACTCAAACACAGGAATAATCGCACACCAAAACCATCCTTTAGTCATGCTCAAAAGCTGCGAATCACACATTCCTATATCCCTTTCCCAGATCAATCTTATGCCGTCCCCGTTTGTCATAAACATCAACTCTCTTGAATCTCAACACCATCCTCCGACCCCTCGATCCCCTCCTCGTCCAGCAATCGAGTTCGATCAGCCAAATATTTTTGAATACCGGTATCCGTACTAGATTCCGAAACACGCAGTGGTGGGTTGAAGAAACTCCGTGATCTGAGGCAAGACTCGAGTTTTCAGCTCGGCGTTATCTTTCTCTCTCGCATCGTCATCAGCAGCAAAATCAATCCTTTCGACGTATATGTTGCGCAATACCACCTCGAAGTTTTTGGTCACTGGAATATCCTTGATGGATTTAAGCTGAGCTAGTTCTCCCTCCCCTTTGGCGAGGTCTTCGAGATTTTGTTCGTTGCCCTCGATTGTTAATATGAGTTCCTCAATCGTTAGATTGTGGGCCAGGTATTCGAGGCATTTTCCCACCTCATCCATATCACCAACCGAACCAAATCTGCGATGAAAACGAAGATATATTTTCTTGATGATGCCATGGATGGCCGGTCTTCCGCGGAAGGGATGGGGTGTGCTGGCGGGTTTGTCCGTTCCTCGAATTTGTGTGTATTTGTATTGTTCCTCGAAACCTTGGAAACGGTGATACATATGGTGGTCTTCCTGTGGATAACCATTCCAAGTAGGAGGTTCTACCATTATGCCTCGATCTATGCGACTGTTAATGAGATCTTGAACTACTTGATCCTCTTCCGTGTACGAGTAGAATGTGCTGTTTCTAATGATTATCTGTATGCATTCCCTCTCCATGAGATCTTGCGTGATCTTGTCTCTGTAGATGCTGAGAAGCGGTCTTCGGATTTCCTGTAGGATCTTGATGCGGATCTCGGCCGGGAGTCGATAGAAGGGGAAAATTCCGCATCTTTGGAAATCGGAATCGTCAGTAATGTCTAGTTCTAGATAGTTATTGCTGGCGTTCTTGGTATACACCAAACCGCGTTGGAGGGTCTTTGCGAAGGCAAAATCGCCATAACCAGACTTGTAGGGTTTTCGTGCGTGTAAACCGAAAGCTTGTAATGTCTTCCATAATACTAGGAGATGTTAGTGCTATTGCAAAAGTTTGTTGCAAACAACGAGACGTATTATAATGAAGTTATAAAATGTTCGTCGTAAAGGATATTGGATGAACTTACTTCTCATGAGCATTATATACGTCTTGCGGATGTAGAATGCAGCCACGGACGCTGGCGAAGACATTTTGAGATGGATAAATGTATGAAAGTAAGAAGGAAACTGCAAGTAGTGTAACGGTTGACTCGTTGAAGGAGGAATGTAAGGACTTTATCACTATGCAATGCAATGCATATAATATGAGTTTGACCGAGATGTAGATGTAGATGTGATATCAAAGAAGAGCCAGCCAGGAAGGTGGGAGTCCTTATATAACAAAAAATGCGCACAAGTACGGTCGTGCCATCTACGAAGAAACCGCCACGGGCCTACAGTTACCAATCAATACTGCGGGGTATCTCGCTGTATAAAAATTATAGTACAAGCTAATTCAATAAACGGTCGAATGAATAAGCGCCTCAAATTTGCATTCACCAATACCGTAGCAATACTGCGGGGTAGGTTGCCGTCTAGTATCTGCCGTCTAGTATCTACATGACATCATCTCAAATAACCGAAGAACTCTGAACTACAAGCATTTTCGACCCTGAAACATCTTATTATCGGATGAATATGAATCACGAAGTCTTTCATCAAGTCTTTTTTACAAATATACATCTCTAGTCCAGCAAAGCACCGAGAGAAGAAGCTCTGAATAGAACTCTCCGAATAGTATGTAGAAGTTTCGCGAAATGTATATCTTTATATTTAAAGACTTTAAGGGTTTTGAATATGCATCACAGGAGGCAATTAAATTAGACAATAGTATATCAGATTATAACGATCAGATAATAATAGAGTCTATTAGTGAGCTGTTCTATTCATACTCCTTAAGGGAACCAACCTAATAACACTCAAAATCTCTCTAAATACTTTATAGTCTACTTAAAATCCTTTGAAAAACTCCAACCTCAAATATATGGAAAACATGAGATGGGGGAGATTAAAACTCGTAGGTTCGATGTGAATAGTATGTATAACCTCAATGAGAGAGTCGAAGTAGGAAGGATAAGTATCGCAAGAGGATTGATTGTTTTATATTTCAATATATTAGCACCTTGTTTGATCAATTACAAAGCCATATCAAAAGCCTAAGAGCTTTGCTTCAGAGCCTCATGACTAGTCTGATTTAACAATCAAACCATTTCCATTTTGAGCATTGAAATCTCATTACCAGGTACATACAGGCTTCTACGGATACTTCAAAGGAGATGCGAATTACGTGAATAGAACTGAGGGCTTATAAATTGACAACACAATAATAGCACTTTACAGTTAATTCCCCACACTAGATAGATCTACAGCCCTATAAAATGATCAAAAGACTGAGCTGTACGAGTAGTATAATATACGAAAGGCTCAACAATAGCTCATTCAATCTAAAGAAGAAAAAGCAAATGAAGATGACCCCCATTAGTTAAAAATTAATTGACATCATGATTTACCGAAAACCTCCAGTTTGTTAACTACAAACTAACTTCTCTTCCGGGTATCTGAACCGTGACCGTGATCGTGCTATCATATAGATTACGCATTACCGACCAAGAACACTAGCGCGAAATTCATCTGAGCCATAAGTCACGATTTGAGATGGCGATTTGCATTTTGATTGAAATTGGGCACTACTGTTTGGCTTTTCTTGATGGATAATTAATAGTTGACTCTTCCCCCATGTGAAGGGATTCAGAGGAAAGATTAGTGGCTCACCCTGGTAGCGTTCGATATTTCCATAACTAGGTTTCCAAGAAATAGCAGAGCTTTCCGGACAATGTTCCCTCTGGTACTTCAATTCGCTGGGTATTGCCCCATTCTATCCTATGGTCTTTGAATAAGGAACGTATGTTAGACAAATTGAACAAGATGACTTCGGTAAGCAAACCGTAAACCACTCATGGCCCTCCTTTTTGCTATCCACACAAGATTCTTCACACATCCATATTTTACCCTTCACAAATTAATCTTCACGCAACTCGTACGAATTACCTTTGCCCTGCCCTTCTCTATGTTCCCAATTCAATCAAAATTTAGGTATACAGACGATTCACTGCCTCTAAACTCCTCAACACTCTTCCTCTCCTATTCTATCCTCGATTCCCTCAAGTCCCATCACACCTATCACAACATCGCAACACGATAAAGAAGACACATCCGCCACTCTCGTCGATCTTCATGCCCAAGCCCATCCATTCGTAACTTGATCAGATCACGTGACGACACTGTTGAGTGTCACAAACTTCAAGAGCTTCAGGTCCATATTCTGGTTCAGATACCCAATACTTCGGGGAAAAGAGACAGCAGAGAGACCAGAAGCACAAGGAGAATTTGCGACAGATTGGAGAGAGAAGTTAAAGATATTGAGCGTCTTTTTGACGAGCTGAGTCTGTGCGTGAAGGTTCCGTGTCTGACAAACCTGGAGATTGAAGTCTTGGAGCATTGCAGGGCGTATCCCGAATGAGATGCTTGAGGGAGCATTGGGATGCACTGGGAGAGTCTCTAGATAGAGAGATTGATGTCATTGTCTCTAAATTTGGTGATGTTCTTCCTCTGGGCTTTCTAGTCAATGCCTCGATGATCATTTCAAATTTTGGAATGCAACTGTGCCTACAACTCTAAAGCTTCAGATGTCGCACTTGCCGTTTACGCAGCATGTTATGTGAATGCACTTTTCGCTTTTAAGGTTAAAATGAATGGGTTACTTGCTCCTGTAACATTATCTTCGTAAATGATAAAACTCGTGAGTGAAGCAATAGTGTACAAGGCCTCAGGCCAACCATGATCCTGCGTGCATGCTAATGACACATTTCAAAGAAATCATTCCTTCGCTCATTAATCCATGCTGCCCTTCTACACCAACTCGCTAGTAACATTAGAAAATTCTCCCTTCTCCAACTTCGTCTTCCAGAATATTGGGTTGGTATCATTGAATCCATGCTTGACCCATCCGTCTTCCTTAACATGGTACAAATTGATGAAACCTCCAGAGTAGGCATCTCTGTGTGTGGCGGCCAAGATACTTCTTCTTCCCAATTCCAATGCAGCTTCTTCGCTCAAATCATACGAGTATTCAGCATCTAGCACACCATATGCAAATGTTTGACCAGATCCAACACAGAAGAGGTTTCCGCTCAATCTTGTTCCGTCGGAATCGATGTAGTAAAGTGCGGGCCCCTCTTCCTTCGTAACACCGGCACACATAGTTCCCATGGATAAGCCCATCCCTTTATATCTGTAGACGAGGTTTGCAAGAATCTTGGATGCGGCTGCAACGGAAATGCGGCGTTTGTGACGAAGTTCGTGAAGTCTGCATTGCATACCGAGGTATGCGAGCCAATATTGACAGTCCTGTTATTTAACGTATCAGTTTTGACCGGACAAACAACTGATAAATTGATAAATTTGACGACTTACAGCAGCACCACCGGCCATTGTACCCAATAAACAATTATTGATTTCAATGACCTTCTTGACCGTTTGACTTGCGATCCAGTTACCTGCCGTTGCTCTCGAATCTGTCGCTACAATGATTCCACCTTGAAATCTGAATGCTAAAGTTGTAGTACCGTGCGCGATCTTAATTGGACAGTTTGGGTTCGCATGGTCGTCAGTTGCTGCTCGGAGCCAAGCGGATGGCTAGAGAGGTGGACTTGATTAGCACTTTGCTCATGGAGTTTCAAAGTAAATATAGCTTCAAATTGAAGCTTAGGTATTGCGAATACAACGTACATGTGCGACAGGAGGCATGGCGAATTTCAAAGACAAGCCTGGAGCTGGTTGGTATAGCTCCATCTGGTCTTCTTGAGGCGCTTCTTGCTCGTACGCTGGCGTACTGTATTTTGCTACTAGGGAATCCATTTTGAATATAGAGGTCTGCGTGTAGAGATTGAAAAGGTCAAAAGAAAGATTTAATAAACCTATGAAATCGTCCTAGATGATTATGATGTCGTTGTATATCGATTAATTGATAGCTTAGGCAGCTTGAGTTTCGCGTCAGCGGGCGGTAGCGGCTGTTTCTGCCGGATGTTACCTAATATAGCCTAGCGCATTTATCGCGGATAACCTTATCGTGACAATCTATCTTTCGATTATATATGCCTAGTATATCAAGCATAAGAATTTATAAAGTCTCGCCGAGTTGGTTTACTTGAGTAATTTCCTTAGGAACTCTTTGACAAAGGCAATAGTTTTACTCTATCTTCCCTTCATCTACGACCCGGTACTCTGATGCGATACTGTCTCTCGGGACTGGTACTTCCGAATGAATATACTCGAGTACACAAACTATGATACTCCGAACAACATTCAATATTAGATCTAGATTCGGATGGGAAAATACAGAGTGGCCTTCACATACTCCTGACTTGCATCGTGCAAATGAGCCGCAGGTATTAGTGTTGTATTACATACATTCTTGAGGCATACTGTGAAGGAGAGGTTCATTGTTCACTGGTACCTCCGCTACCTATACTCGAATTACCAAGCAGATTTGTAGGTCATTTTAAATCTACATATTACCTAGGTCCCGATATCATCATTTTAGGTCGAGTATCACACTCAACCAGACCTTCCATGAGAACCAGTTGGTAATAGAAGGAATTAAAGACCATGGTCCTACCCAGCCAAATTATCTAACCTAAGTCTGGTACTTCACGTGTACATCGGCTAAAGTGTTGACCGAAATCCTCTGTCTTCCCCCATCAACAGGATCAGGTTGCTGTCGAACTCAACCTTTCACTAGTACTTAGATCGAAGGCTTCGGATGCAGTGAACCATAAAGATATACCAACCAACTCGATTCGCACGAGTTCCCAGCACTTACGACAACTCGATATGTCGGTATAGTCCAGCATATATGTGAAGCTTTCTTCATGCTTTGCTTCCTTTGATCATCGGTCTGAGGTCCAATTGATAACTATCTCCGGTATTTGATATTGCAAACTTTGGTCGATCGATTCGAGCACTCTATCCAGGACCAGGGAGCATCAGTATATTGGTACAGTAGTGACGAGGTTTAGATTTGCAGATCTTCACGGGATTGAGATATCCTCAAATTCTTAACTACTGTGTCCAGTAAAAATCTCCACATCCAAACTAGATCCAGCCCTTCATCGATGTTTTTTTCCGAGATTCATATAAATAATCAGGATTATTGGATATCATACCACATCTCACACCTCTCCATGATTTGATAGATTTCCCTTGTTGACCTTCTTGTTTACTCATCTATACATCTATCTATCCGTCCATCCTTTAATTTAAACAGGAGAAGGTTACCCTACACTACTGCATGCAACCTCTAGATTTCTCATGGGTAACTAAAATACGTCAGTTGGTCGTACAATCTGTACTTCATTCCAATGGAAACCTTCATATTACACAAGCTTTGGGAACATCACTTCGATATTACGCTTCCGTGTCTAAAAACTCCAAATCAATCCGAATGATTTTTGAAAACTGTTCCGATCACATCTCGACCGACTTGTTATCAGCCATAAGTCTCCCCCAACTTTCCGTTTCGTGGTACACGCACCTTATCTCTCCTACTATTGTATTAAATTTTCTGTCATTTCCGATAACAGATTCACTTGTACGTCTTTGTACGAGTGTGACGATATTGCGGGAATTCATCAACATAAATCGGAATTATTGGTGCCAAAGCCGTGTGTGTATTCGTCCTAAGTATTATCATTTCTGACATCCGGTGATATAGTGAATTAATTATCTTTATACTCATCCTTTCATTTCCAACTTTCTGAGATTTCGGACATTGAATTCATCTTGTTGATGAGAATCCATCAATCAACATTATGCTTTCATCCTCAGAGCGCAAAAGAATCCGAGAGGTTCGCCGGTACTACAAAAGGTCTCCTGATGATCCGCCTATCGCTGGTGAGCGTGCGCCAGCCGAGAGTCCCGAGACAGTTCGGTCCGTGGAAAAAGCCAGCAGCCCAAATAGTACTTTAACAGCCTTAATGCAACTCATTACGTGGCGTCTCGGTGCTGGAAGAGCGATGGTATCTGTTGTAGATCACAATGCACAAGTATTTGTGACTCCGATCAAAACTATCATGACAGTACACTCACGGTTTATAGTACTTTCTTGCCGAAGCAACAAAGACACTGGATTTGTCAGACTCTTCAAAACATGACCCGGGTGATGATTTATGGATGGGTTGCGGAGGGTAAGAGATCCTACAGTAATAAGTATGGGGTTTTTCTGACAATAAATCACGGTTATAAGAACTATTCGCAGCCAAGCCCTCTGTGCAGTGAGTTTCCCTGCCCACCAAACGCTCACCACTAACACACTGTGACTAGTACACTATAGATGTTGTTCCTGAACCAAATCATTATGCCTGTTTTAGTGTTCCGGATTTATTGGCTGATCCCAGGTTCTGTAACTTACCTTATGTTGCAGGAGGGCCGAAGTTTCGATATTATGCGGGGACGCCTTTGATCAGTAATACTGGGATACCAATTGGAAGTGTCTTTGTCATCGATCCAAGGCCACGCGAGCCAGCAACGAAGGCCGAAATTGATTTCCTTGGATTGATGGCAAAAAACGTTATGGAGTACCTTGAAATGAAACGAGAGAGTGTGCAATTACGACGCAATGATGTCATGTCTAAAGGGTTAGCTGCTTTAGTTGAGGGTCAAAGTAAGATTCCGCGGCAACTAGTAACAGACCTCGTCGTCGAGTACGAAGAAGTTAATGGGACCCGCTCGGATGAAGACAACTTGATTAACACCCACTCAACGGGTAGTCTAATTGTCGTTGACACACCACCTTTGGCTACAGTCACTGAACATTCGTTAAACAAAATTGTGGGTCCCCCACATTCACTACTTGGTGAGAATGTATTATATGATATCTCACCTAATACTCCCATGGGGCCATCGGCATTGGCCGACGTCCCGGCTACCCATGATCGCATACTATCACGAGGTGCCAATTTGCTGAGAGAATCCCTTGATGTTGACTATACGATTTTCTTTGATATGAGTATTGGCTTTTCACCCAGTGTCGAAAATGGGCCAAATGGGGAAGTTAAATCTCCTGAAGATTCAATTCTGGATCCATCAGATGTAAACAATGACCCGATCCCAACTTCCGCCCATCTTGTTCAAGAAAACGATCTTCATCTACTGAACACATCTGCCCGGCGTTGTTCGCTAAACAGGCGGAGTAACGAAGCAGGGTCGGCCAAAGTCAGGAGCTTCTCCACTTCAACAACTTCATCATTAGACGGTAATACATTATCTTGTAACATATACAGAGCGCCAAATGAAAAGGATCTGCAAAGATTATCAAAACGATATCCTAAGGGTAAAGTATGGACATTCAATGGCTATGATTCCGAATCATCAGAAGGCGAGGATTCGCCACCCTCTGATCAAATGTTTGCGATGCAACTTAACCAACATCAGAGCCGTCGAGTCAGGAAGACTGATCGTAGCATTCTGAAGCAGTGCTTTCCCGATGCGCGAGAGGTGCTTTTTGCTCCTCTTTCAGAAGCAGGAACTGGGTTACCAATAGCGGCATGCTTCTCAGTATCGCTACGAGATATCGCGATCTTCACATCTGATACAGAAAAGGCTTTTGTTCGTGGGTTCCTGAACAGTGTATCTATTGAGTATAACCGAATATCTATTGCAGCTGCCGATCGTCAAAAGGGAGACTTCATATCGAGCATATCACATGTAAGTGAACTTATCTTATCAATATACTCGCCTATTGTCGAATGTCTTGCTACAAAATGAAGAGAATAACTCTTGTGTAACGGCAACATATGCCAATTGCCCCCACGATTACTCATACAGCCATACTCTTGAGTTATTTATCTCCAAAGCTACAACCCAACTGACAAACTTCTTCTCAAAAAAAGTATTTTGGCTAATATTTGAGGGATACCATTGCATGGTGTTTTTGTCGCTACCGCTCCAAAATTACCATGTAATGGCGTCCACAGAAGGAATTGCGATCACCACTTCATGGTATCTTAGGATCTGCCGGTATTTATGTTCTTGTTGGATACTCGGGATTATTTTCTTACAACTTCAATAGAGCTTTTAAGCGAGACGAATCTTGACAATGGTCAATTCGAACTTTGTTCCACAATCGAAACGTGTGGACGAGTCCTGCAAGAGACTTTAATGGATGTTCTTGAATACTCCAAGGTACGCATTTTCTTTTCTTCTTCCGAGTACAAGCTTGTCACGGCTAAGGAGCTTGCAAATTGTTGAATCTGCCTGTCAGCCACAGAAAGCTAATATTTCTAGCTAAACAACCTAATGAAGGATAAAGGAGCTGGTGGAAAGTCTGCAGATACGAGTGGCGATACTTCGCATTCTCAAAAGCTCAACGGCGAGAGCCTGGCTCGCGGGGACATGCTTTCAGTGCCTCTAGATCTTGCTAGAATGTGCGAAGATTCGGTAGCAATTGTTGCAGCTGCATACCTACACCACAGCACAAACTCGGAACATCTTCCATGCCGAGTAATAGCACCTCCAGGAACGACGAATGGGCAAGAGGAACGGATGTTATACAAATCCAGCTCTGTCGCTGTCTCTGTGCATATTGCATATGATGATTGGCACTACTTCTGCTCTCCAGGATCCGTACAGCGAATTATCATGAATCTTGTCGGTAACAGTCTCAAGTATACATCGTCAGGCTTCATACATACATCTTTGACAGTGGAGTCTCCGACTAATGACAATCTCGAGGTACCAAATACACCAAGAATACCCAGCGACAATGATTTAGTTGTGCTTTGTGTTAGCGATAGTGGCAAGGGTATTTCTAGTGAGTTTCTGAAAAGCAAACTCTTCACGGCCTTTTCTCAGGAGTCATCTTTAGCACCGGGGACCGGTAAGGATTTAATTATGTGTTTGATTGTGTTGAAAAATGCTGATAGGTCAAAGGACTTGGACTTCACATCGTTGACTCTCTCGTGCGCATGTATAACGGAACCATTGATGTTCAGAGTCAAATTGGTCATGGAACTACGGTTACAGTCAAATTGCCTCTCGTGAAAGCAGGATCGGATTTATCCTCTGGCGTGCCTGCTAATTTGCGACCTAAGGATCAAGTTGAGGAAGTCAAAAGGCTGCTTAAGCAATACAAATATTCCACGTTTTCGACACACGGTTTCCAGTTCGGCACTTCTAGTTATCTGAAGAAGTCCCTGTACACCTATCTCACCCAATGGTTTGGCGTGCATCATGATGTCGATGATGGTACTGCTGATATTGCATTTGTCACTGAAGAGAGGCTCGAAATATTCCTTTCGAACCTAATCATACACGGGTCATTGAAGCCTTCGCTCATAATAGTGGTACGATATGTCCCGAGCCACGGCTACACATCACAACAGAGCTCGGCTGTTGGGATACCCCTTGAAACCCTCACGGTACCTTTTGGTCCCTGGAAATTGATGAAAACGTTACTTGCTTGCCTCTCTCCGAAACAAGTCTCGCTACCTCAAACTAGACCCGAACCCCCTAGATATATTTACACAAGTCCTTTGCCTTCTCCAACGCCTGATATTCAGAAGGAACTTGCTGGTACCAATATCCAACAAACGGTAGAAGAAATCTTCCCTGACACATCACTCCCTTCACCTCAAAATTTATTAAGACCTCATCAGCCTAGGATTTTGTGCGTCGACGACAACCCTATCAACCTGCGCCTCCTCAGAGCCTACTTTCGCAAACTCCAATTTGATATCACGTGTGCCGAAAATGGAGCTGTGGCATTCGAAAAATATCGGCTTCAAGCTGACGGATTTGATCTTGTCTTCATGGGTACGTATTTCTCACTTCTGCCCTGGTCTTGGCATACATACTCTTTCATATAGCACATTCCCTCCCCTCTACAGGAAAGTTACATGTACATACAAATTGTCGAGAGAAAACTGATTCATGTCATCAATCACAGATATTAGCATGCCCATCTGTGATGGCTACCAATCTACACGAATGATCCGATCTCTTGACAAGCTTCAACAAAGCATTAGCCCTATACCATTACCACCAACCCGTATCGTAGCAATTTCGGCAGCATACTCAGACAAGGATGTCGAAAAGGCAAAGGCGGTGGGTGTTGATGACTTTTATACAAAGCCTCTGAAGGTTAGTAAATTGGAGACTTTGATGAGGGGATGGGGGTATTTCAATTTATGATTTAGGGAACGAGAGTTTTAAATGGGGGGGTGAAGGAAACCCAAGGTTTATCTCGGTTGTAGGTCTCAACATAAAGATCGGATTTGGTACTCAAACAATCATGGGCGTGGTAACGATCGAAATGGAGATTACATCTAAAACCGATTACCCGAAAATTCGGGTATATTTACGAGTAAAAGGTCGTAGCATACTTTAGCCCAGCGCATACATCAGTCTACTGACGGATACCATTATCAATACCCCGAAACTTCCCATGCAATCTCTAACTAACCTTCATCTTTCTCCACTCTCACCCTACAGGCACCTCATTTCGGCACTTTCTTTATGTATAAGCAATTATTGCACTAGAACATGTATTGAGGTGTATTTAGATCTTGTATTAAGATTTAAAATCTCAGTTCAGGCCTAATTAAATGTAGCTTCATTTTTTTTTCATACTAATCGAAATTATCGAATGATTTCAGTTTCATTCATTCTACTTCTTTACAACTTTTGTTCAAATCAACTTGAGTAGTTTCATATTCTATTAATATATTCTATTAATTACTGTAGTAAATCAATTTGAATAATTTCAATATGGTAAGTCGGTTTGAATGGTTCTAATGCTTCAATTTCTGGTAAATCAGATTGAATTAAAACCAATAAGAAGGATCAGTAATTTATATAAACGATTAAGATTTAGCGAAGAGTGAAGAGTGAAGACAAGGGTGCGACAATGAGGTTCAAATCATAAGGTATGAAATTCATGATAAGAGAAAATAAGAAGGAAAGGGAGAACCTCTGGGAGGTGTGGGAAGCGTGGGAGGCATGAGAGGCCTGGGAGGAAAGGAGGGATGGTTTGGGGGGTCCAGGAGTGAGGGGTTTGGTTGGCCAAAGGTATCGGAGGACTATTTTAGCTTCAAAATTCGAAATCTCAATACACGTATTGAAAAGGATGCTTGAAAAATTACCGATTTCTTTGTATTATACTAGGGATTTCCTTATATGAGGTGCCCGTAGGTTTAGCAAACATGGACACTAACACATATCCTCAATCCACACCACAACTCAGAATCACACAAGCATGAAAAAACATCAGAAAGCCATCACATGGTTGTAAAGCAATGATTTATTTGTATTAGCATCGATAGCTTTGAATAAAGTGCCTGAAAAGTGCCAGTATTACTCAATGGGTGGATGTAAAGAGTGTAAGTGTCCCCGAGGAGGAGGAAAATTCAATGCTTAATAATGTACACTCGTGAGTAGAACTGTAGTATCATAGAAAGAAGGAAATATAACTGAGTGTAAGTCCCCGAGAAATGCGTTCAGTGCGCGTTGAGAAAAAAAAGGTCCAACTGAGTGTGAATGTCAGAATGTTGGCCGAGGTGATATGATGATAGGAAATGATACTCTTATGCCTGCAAAAGAAAAGATCCAACTGAGTATGAATCTGTCCGAGGTGAAATGGTGATAGGAAAGGATACTCTTATGTCTGCAAGAGGGATTGTCGAGTATTTTCGAGGTGGGGAGGATATCATGTTTGGTGATGGCAGTGGGTGTGCTGGCCAGGTCTATCCGCAAAAACATATGCTCCGGCAGGGCTTCAAGTGCCTTGATCCTGCTGATCCTCCTGAGGACAATCTTGGCATGGGTGTCTCCATATTCCAGCATCCAAATCTTTGGCTCTTTGTGTCATCGCAGCTGAATGGACTTCTATCAATCTCTCCACAGAATCCGTTACCATATGTTCCGCATAATCATACATTATTGGTAGGGGATATCGACCTTCTCCAGGTAGCTGATGGCTAAGATCGACGGCTTCCGCAAGCCGTAAAGCTAATAAGTCACTCCTTCGCGTATCCTCATCACCATCTGGTGGAGGAGGACCATCCTTCAATTGTCTCAGGGCTGGAATCATCCAGACCCTCAGAGTAGCCTTTGTTTGTTGTACTGATTTGGGTCGATATTGGACCCCGAACCATTCTTCCCGACAAGCTTCTTTTGACCAGGCATCCTTTGCGATCTCTTCCTCTGTGTCTCCGTGATGCTGTTCTGAATATAAGGTCCAGCGCATTGAGTATCTCTCCGGTGAATATTGGTCAATCAACTTCAAACATATGCTAATAACAAGGTCGCTGACGTCCTCAAATGAAAGGGGGTATTCGCCATGCATAGTGGTAAAATCCATAGCCATCAATAAGATTCCAGTTTCCCATGCCCTCCATCTCGTTGATCTTTCGTAGTAAAACCATTCACCTACAGGTCCCGACATGGTGCTGGCGTATAAGTCTAAGTATTCTCAAAATATGAAATGTTTGAGGAACTGGTACAGTGAAAGCTGGCATGCTGTACAATTCGATTGGTTGAGGTAGCTTTGGTACGGGAAGATGTATAAAGCGAGTTGCGTTGAGGCATCTTTGTATAAGATATTTCAGAGCGTTGTTTTATCAATCTCGTTGCTGTGGATGAGGAAAGAACAATGGAAGCAGAAGGGAAAACGCCAGAAGCATTTATACACGAATCCGAGAGCCTGTGCCCCGTTAAATAGTCAAATGAGTTTAGAAACTGATATAATAAGATTGAAAGATACCTTCATTTCCTCTCGAAACCACTTGTTGGTCTTGATAAATTACTCGAATAGTTCCAGTCAAATATTACCTAAATCCTCTTTTCAATGCTCATGAAGCAGCTTCGAGACAACATTTCCAATCAATATCTCTCATCCACTTCACTATTGTCAGTATTCCTATACCCAACCGTCATTCTCGTCCTCAGAGTCATGATATGAACAATGAGTGTGCTGAGTGAAATGAATATACCGTGACATATGAAATCTAGGAAGGATGAAAATGCAGGGGTGACCCAGATAAGCGAATCCCAATTTCAGTGACTCTATACTTGAGCACATAGCTCAAGTCTTTCGATAACTTGTCACTTGAACAGTATTTGTTCAATACTCATAAATTAGAATAAATACCACCCACTTTCGTTGAGTAACCGAGCTGTACCTAGATTTCAAACATGTCCAAAGTCTTCTCGCGAAGGGTCTGACTGATTTGGAAGATACAAAAAATCGGTGGCATTGTCGCGCCTGCAAACATCATCAAATTCGATCCCGCCGTAACATCTATTCACAATTTTCCATAAATAAAACGAGAAAGTGGCAATTTCACTACGCGCGAATGCTCAACCACTTAGGCTTAATTATACAAAAAGCAAGATCATTGTCCAAAATAAAAGGCTGTAAGATATTGCCATGCTGGCTTGTGCGAACGCCAAATATAGTATGACAGAGTGAGGCAAAGGAATGATGATGATATTGTGTATGGTTCAATGTGTCGAGCCACATGTATTGGAAATAGCATCTTGAATAACACAAATATATAAACATCTTATGTCGATAGAAGCTCATCTATCTATGGTTTATGTGTACCAATACCGTGCAGGTTGTGAGATGAAAGAGTACTTTAATTGCTTGATAGGTTTATCATAACCCCAAATGCCCGCATATACAAAACATTCGAGGTATAGATAACTCCATATCCAAGTGGCTCCATATGCAAACATTTTCCCATTCAGATAGTTCCGCATGTATATATCTCCGCACCTTGGTATTTGCATATCCAACCAATTCCCCATTCCAAAAGTTCCGCATGTAGATAACTCCGCACCTAGATGAGTGCATATCCAAACAATTCCGCATTCAAACAATCCCATATCACAACAACTCTATGTCAAAACATCTTTCCCACACCCCACCCTTTATCTGATGGAATACAATCCTTCCCAATGCAAGTCCTCCTCGGGTTCCGCCTTGTGCTTGGATTCTCCCCTCAAGTTGTCGATCGAAGTTTTCGACAAGCCCGCTTGCAAGCCTTTCTTGTCATTCCACAGGATTCTTCGAATCAAGAACCTGATGATATGCCCATGATATCCGAGCACTTCCACCCAGTTCTCTCTCTCCATGACGAACATTTTGAGTCCGTTACCGACGAATTTCTCGGCGATGGCAGTGGTGGTGGATTTTGGAAGGAAGATAAAATATGCCCGGAGCTGTGCGGCGATCCAGAGGCTGCACTCGCCAACCGTGTAGTCGTATTGAGGAATTGTTCTGCGAGTCATCGTGGGGGTCCAGTTGGGATCCTTTTTCGGATTGTCTCGCTCGCAGCTATTGACGACTGTAGCGTTCGTTCGTTAGCTAAATTATATGTATAACGCTTGGCCAAGATTACGATGCTCAATGGCATGCAAAAAACCGCATGCAGTTGTGTTTCATTCAGCTGCATACATTCGCGAAGCAATTGACAAAGCGGATTTAGCAATTGGTTATGAAGTTGCCTTTATGACTAGTATAGATGCTCCCGAAAGTAATGATAAAGCCAATCCTTGTTGGATAAAAGCCTTGCCCAGGACCCTTAAATTCATCGAGCTGAGGGAAGGAAGCTGAAAAGGCCCACGTGTAGAAAGGTGATGACAATTTGATGACTTTAGCAATCTTCTTGTACTTACTTGTATCGTCCGATTTGTTGGCGTTTTGGTTCTTGTAAACGTCTGCCGAACCGAAGCTCTTGCGAGTGAGCTTTGACTTGAAAAATCGAAAAGGCATTGTTATATTTGTGGTTATGTTTGTGGTTGTTGATGGATTGATAAATAATAAGTCAAGTTTCAACAACGATAAAAATGATATGAAGACCAAGAGAGAGAAAACGGGATTGCAAAAGATCTATAAATAATAACTATCTAGGGGTTGTGACTTGTGCTAAGAGGATAGTACATAGCATAAGATGCTTGAATCGGTACGCATTATGCTCAAGGCGGTTAGTTTGGCAGGCTAAAACTCCAAAATCAAGTTTGAAAAAACTTTAAAAAAAGCCGGCTAGGATTCCTTTCGGAACACGAACGCCGAAAGATGTGTTTATAGCGCATGTTTCTAGGCCTTTAAGACTAATCATATATGAGTTACGAAAAGACAGACAAGAGACCAACCACTTCATCGGAACGCAAATGCTAAGCTCAATATGTAGACTTGAGAGGTATTGGCAGGTGATGACTGAAGAAACGATAGGATGTCTCTACCACTCTCGAAAAAAGGAAAGCGTGTTTTGCACTATCCCAAACATTAAAAATAAGAACCTTTCGCAATGTTCAACTAATTACAAATGGTCGATTGAATAAGGTGACTGACCATCATGTTCAGAGGTCGAACTCACACTTGAGCTAAACAGAACTCACTCAAGTCGATCTTCAAAAGAATGGAATATTGAAATGACGAGTGTGTTGGTATGAAAAGGTGAGCTAAGAAAAGTCAATCAGATACCTTCGCTGCCGGCGACTAGACTCCAATATCATATAGCTGTCTTTTTTGGACTTTATATCCGCAATCGATGCTCGGAGGTCTAACACTTGGTAGACCCCGCGTGCACGCTACAGTGTTGCTATACGGTAGACCAAACATATTTTTGGGAAGATAACATCATAGATGTTCCTTCTTCGGTAGCCTATCGATTTTCCGCCTTATTTCATTCTCACTTAATACCGGTACTCTGTTCTAAATCCATGGTTCCACTGATTGCCGTTGCGTAGACCCAGTGTTGCCCAAAACCCAATACAGGTGAAGAATATTGAGGATCTTGAATTTCATCTCACGGTATATCACAGGTCTTCCACATCGCTATGACCTGGAGTTTCTCGTCGTCCCCTATGAATGATGTGTCCTCGACAATGGTTATCGTCGTTGTTATTGTGTCATGTGACCATTTTATTCAAGTGGAACAATCTAAAACTCATGCTAAATAAAATCATTAAGCGTTCGGTCTAACTATATTGAACTCTAGTCATGTCCTCTCGCTTCTGATCGCCAAGACCCGATTGATTTTGCCTTCTTCTCTGCTATTTCTCGAAGATTAGTCATCCAAAGAGAAGAGACTGGTGCTAGGCGTACACCCTGGCCCAATATATTCTAATAACATAAAAATTGATATTCGATATAATATTGCTCTTATATAAACACCCCTGTTTTGTAGTGTTATTTTAAATTCTCTTGATTTGGCCGCAAACTTTTGGCCTTAAGATTACATCATCCATGCTTTAACCCAGCCTTGTGCGGATTCAAATAAATTTTGATAGCCTTGGAATCAGTCATTGCTGCCCCACCACCACTCTCACAACTTCTTCAGAAGACAAATGTATTTTCACAGTCTTTAAAAAACAATCACTGACGAGGAAGTATGTTCAAGACATCTCAAGGATTTTGTAAAGGTTTATTTAAAAGGAGGAGCCGTAGAATACAACGCTAAAGGTTACCATCTTCATCCTGGCTTCTCGAATTCGGCCAAGAACTACAAATCTCCTTTCAAACTTTTACAGTATAATAGCCAAGATGGCTTCCACCCAAGTGAATGGCAGTGCCATTAGAACTCGCTTTCTACCGGTCACTACGTCTGACGTTGGACACTTCAGTAATCAAGAAACGCTCGAGACGTGGGAACTTCCTAAAGATCTCTCCGGACTTCGGTTTATCGCAGAAGCAGCAGAGTACCTCAAGACAAAAAGCATACCCGTAGCTTTCCCAACAGAAACTGTGTACGGATTGGGTGCGGATGCAACGAGAAGCGATGCGGTGAAAGGAATATACAAGGCTAAAGGACGCCCATCTGACAACCCACTTATTATACATGTTTGCGACCTTACTATGCTACGCAGTCTCTTATCATCGACCGAAAATCAGAGCCCCGAAGCAGACTCTCCCGAAATTCCAGATATCTACAAGCCACTGATCCAACGTTTCTGGCCTGGCCCCTTGACCCTTCTCTTACCAAATCCATCCCCAAGCAAGTTAGCCCCAGAAGTTACGGCAGGTCTACAAACATTCGGCGCACGAATGCCAAGTTCCCCTCTTGCGCTATCACTAATTCGCCTGGCCGGTGTTCCCCTTGCCGCTCCGTCTGCGAATGCCTCCACGAAACCTTCATGCACAACAGCCGAGCACGTATACCACGATCTGAACGGTAGAATCGAAATAATACTTGATGGCGGGCCATGCCAAGTTGGAGTAGAGAGTACCGTCGTAGATGGCATGTGCGATCCTCCTGTTGTTCTTAGACCTGGTGGTGTCAGTATTGATGAGATTCGAGAATGTCACGGCTGGGAAGGTGTGGTGAGAGGCTACAAAGACCAAAGTGAAATTGGAGACAAAGCGCCGAGGGCACCGGGAATGAAATATAAACACTACAGTCCCAAAGCAAAGGTTATATTATACGAGGGTGAGACCCGGAATGAACCCCCTCTCGGAACTGAAGCCTTTTCGATCGTAGCAGCACAAGCTAGAAGGACGGACCGTGTCGGGCATGAGAGGCCCGCTAAAGTTGGTATAATTTCTACTAGGCATTGGAGGTTTCGTTCCGGATATCGAGATGTCGACTGTCATACTATAACAAGTGAAGAAGACGAAGCAGAAAATGTCGACATAGGTGGCGCCGTATGCTCAAATGAATTCGAACTCTGGACGACCGCAAAAGTAGAGCCCTGGACTAGTTGGCATGTGGCAGATTGCTTCAATATTGCCCTTGGGAGTAAGATCAAAGACATTGCCCATGGTTTATTTTCTGCCTTGCGCGAATTAGATCACAAAGGTTGCGATGTCATTTTTGTAGAAGGTATCAGAGATGAGGGGGATATTGCCGCAGCAGTCATGAATAGGCTTCGAAAAGCAGCCACTGTCATTGAAAAATAGAAGATAAAGAATCACCTTCGAAGACGAATACACCTAGTTACAACACCCAGGAACAGTTTGCGTCCCAATGTGACTTCAATATTCCTATACCTGGAAATATGATATCCCCCAACTCCAGTACGATCTGAACTCCTTTTATGGCTACCACCCAAATATAACATCGCCCATCCACAATGACATAATCTCCCCTCTCTAATATCCCTCACAGACCCTGTCTCAACCAATCCCCTAACTTGGCTTTTCCAAACTGTGCCAGATTATTCATGCCTTGTTCACTCAAATCAATACCCTTCAATTGCGCTACATCTTGCGTAGGCGCCTTGCTAACCCTTTGTACAATGATCGTGGGGTCTGTTTCGAGGATAATACCGTCATCAACCATCTCGTCGACTGCTAGAGAAAGGAGATCGTAGTTTTCGATTATGGTGCGCTTATCTACCGATTGCCTGCGAATCGTTAGCTCCGAGTTCTTTCGTAACTCAAAGAGATGTAAGAGACATGGGGAATGCGTCCAAAACTCCCAGGGAAGGAGACGAGACATACTTAAATAATAAATGCAAAGAATCCCTCAAAGCCAGAATGACATTGTAAAGCATAATCTCATTCTCGTCCACCCCTCCAACCACATACATCATAACATCGCTCTCACTCTTATATAGCACAATACGGCTATCGTAGAGGATGATGTCTGCGGTTTGCTTTTGGGTTTTCTCGAGAAGGCCTTTCTCAAATGCTTTTTGCGATTTTTGGTCAGGGTATGGTGCTGCTGGTGCTAGTATGTATGTTAGTTTCAAATATGAGGAGAAGGTTTAGTGAACATACAAGAGGAGTTGTGGTGGGGAGGCTTGTAGTATTTGGTGAACACTCGGGAACCGTCTTCAGAATTGAGGATTATGATAGCATTGATGGAGAAAAGGGACATGTTAGGCGCCATAATGATGGTTTGGGATCGATTGGCAAGAGAGTCGTGGTGGGATTTGCGTGTGCGGTTGCGTGGCAGTTTCTGGGGCTGGTCTGGGGGACTTGAAGCTATCGGTTTGGCAATCGTGGTCGCAATGTCATTGGTGCCTGAGGACACAAATAAGTTTTCGCGCTACAGAGATTACGTAATCTTGCGGCCCCCCTTTTGTTCTCGCTGGGCACCGAATCAAAGGAAGTTGATGTGTTCTTTTATATTTCATCGGTCCAGAATAAACTCGACATCAGAAAAGACAGGAAAGACAGGACCATGCGATCAAACCTCGCTCTTGTTCTACGGCCAATTCAAGGCTTTATTAGAACTATTGGAATGTCTAAAGAAGTGCCCCTCGGCTCTAACAGCTCAATCTTTCTTACGATGTCTACATTTTAACTGTTGGTTCAATTGACAGGTTCGCTATTGAGATATTCAGTATTCATTGACCCCATTTCGATTTCCAGCTCTGTAACCTTAGTAGGGCAGTAAATGCTGCTTACCTAGTTGATGCAGCAAGTGCTGTCTTTACTGACAACACATGAAATTCCGCGGTTCCTTTGTTCCTCCTCTGTTCACACAGAACAATCCTCTTTTCTTGTTTGCAACGCATCTGAGAACAATGCAATTGTATTTGATATATACAATGTTCGCATGTGTGCATTTTTAAATGTACACGCGCGCAGACCAGTAGACAAATAAATACTCATAAACACCACTTCGATACGCCATGAATAATTCAAATGGTAAGTCTCCTGCCTGCAACGCTCCTTTCCACACTCCGGAAAAGCTTCTGCCCATTCGATCTCACGCCAAGGAATTGCCCTGATATTTCATCCCCTTACTCCAAACATCCATAACATTGTTCAAGATCAATCGATAATCAGCTGGGCCAGGGTGCAGGAGTATCACGACGCTTTCATTGCTAACCGTTTAGGAGGTCCGCAAATTCCACTTCCCAAATTGAAGAGAAGCATGACCACACCACTCCCGAGCGAATCGAATGTTGGCACCGGTACCGAGTTGTCTAACGCCGCTGTGTTCTTTTCTTTGCCACCAAACAACGGAATTCTCGCCCAGACCGCAAACGCAATGGTAGAATTCATCTGTGACTACGCTAATCGTTGGCATTCTGCACTTCCATCCGAAGACCCAGACGAAGTGACACCTTGTCGATGTCTTCCTGGGACCACTCCCATGTTTGCATACTTACCCTGTTACTTCGATGAAGCGATGAAACATGGACCAAAACATGCCGCCGCAA